GAGAAACAGTAGGTAATGTGAGCGAGAGAAACAGTAGATAATGTGAGCGAGAGAAACAGTAGGTAATGTGAGGGAGAGAAACAGTAGGTAATGTGAGGGAGAGAAACAGTAGGTAATGTGAGCGAGAGAAACAGTAGATAATGTGAGGGAGAGAAACAGTAGGTAATGTGAGGGAGAGAAACAGTAGATAATGTGAGGGAGAGAAACAGTAGATAATGTGAGGGAGAGAAACAGTAGATAATGTGAGGGAGAGAAACAGTAGGTAATGTGAGGGAGAGAAACAGTAGATAATGTGAGGGAGAGAAACAGTAGGTAATGTGAGCGAGAGAAACAGTAGATAATGTGAGCGAGAAGAAACAGTAGATAATGTGAGCGAGAGAAACAGTAGGTAATGTGAGGGAGAGAAACAGTAGGTAATGTGAGGGAGAGAACAGTAGGTAATGTGAGCGAGAGAAACAGTAGGTAATGTGAGGGAGAAACAGTAGGTAATGTGAGCGAGAGAAACAGTAGGTAATGTGAGGGAGAGAAACAGTAGGTAATGTGAGGGAGAGAAACAGTAGGTAATGTGAGGGAGAGAAACAGTAGGTAATGTGAGGGAGAGAAACAGTAGGTAATGTGAGGAGGAGAAACAGTTGGTAATGTGAGGGAGAGAAACAGTAGGTAATGTGAGGGAGAGAACAGTAGATAATGTGAGGAGAGAAACAGTAGATAATGTGAGCGGAGAGAAACAGTAGGTAATGTGAGCGAGAGAAACAGTAGGTAATGTGAGGGAGAGAAACAGTAGGTAATGTGAGCGAGAGAAACAGTAGGTAATGTGAGGGAGAGAAACAGTAGATAATGTAAGGGAGAGAAACAGTAGATAATGTGAGCGAGAGAAACAGTAGATAATGTGAGCGAGAGAAACAGTAGATAATGTGAGCGAGAGAAACAGTGATAATGTAAGGAGAGAAACAGTAGGATAATGTGAGCGAGAGAATACAGTACGGTAATGTGAGCGAGAGAAAACAGTAGGTAATGTGAGGGAGAGAAACAGTAGGATAATGTGAGCGAGAGAAACAGTAGGTAATGTGAGGGAGAGAAACAGTAGATAATGTAAGAGGGAGAGAAACAGTAGATAATGTGAGGGAGAGAAAACAGTAGATAATGTGAGCGAGAGAAACAGTAGATAATGTGAGCGAGAGAAACAGTAGATAATGTGGGAGAGAAACAGTAGATAATGTAAGGGAGAGAAACAGTAGATAATGTGAGGGAGAGAAACAGTAGATAATGTGAGCGAGAGAAACAGTAGATAATGTGAGGGAGAGAAACAGTAGATAATGTAGGGAGAGAAACAGTAGATAATGTGAGGGAGAGAAACAGTAGATAATGTAAGGAGAGAAACAGTAGATAATGTGAGCGAGAGAAACAGTAGATAATGTGAGGGAGAGAAACAGTAGATAATGTGAGCGAGAGAAACAGTAGATAATGTGAGGGAGAGAAACAGTAGGTAATGTAAGGGAGAGAAAACAGTAGGTAATGTGAGGGAGAGAAACAGTAGGTAATGTGAGGGAGAGAAACAGTAGGTAATGTAAGGGAGAGAAACAGTAGATAATGTAAGGGAGAGAAACAGTAGATAATGTGAGAGCGAGAGAAACAGTAGATAAATGTGAGGAGAGAAACAGTAGATAATGTAAGGAGAGAAACAGTAGGTAATGTAAGGGAGAGAAACAGTAGATAATGTGAGCGAGAGAAACAGTAGATAATGTGAGCGAGAGAAACAGTAGGTAATGTAAGGAGAGAAACAGTAGGTAATGTGAGGGAGAGAAACAGTAGGTAATGTGAGGGAGAGAAACAGTAGGTAATGTGAGGGAGAGAAACAGTAGATAATGTGAGCGAGAGAAACAGTAGATAATGTGAGCGAGAGAAACAGTAGATAATGTGAGGGAGAGAAACAGTAGATAATGTGAGGGAGAGAAACAGTAGGTAATGTGAGGGAGAGAAACAGTAGGTAATGTGAGGGAGAGAAAACAGTAGATAATGTGAGCGAGAGAAACAGTAGATAATGTGAGCGAGAGAAACAGTAGGTAATGTGAGGGAGAGAAACAGTAGGTAATGTGAGGGGAGAGAAACAGTAGATAATGTGAGGGAGAGAAACAGTAGATAATGTGAGCGAGAGAAAACAGTAGATAATGTGAGGGAGAGAAACAGTAGGTAATGTGAGGGAGAGAAACAGTAGATAATGTGAGGGAGAGAAACAGTAGATAATGTGAGCGAGAGAAACATAGGTAATGTGAGGAGAGAAACATAGATAATGTGGAGAGAAACAGTAGATAATGTGAGCGAGGAGAAACAGTAGGTAATGTGAGGGAGAGAAACAGTAGATAATGTGAGGGAGAGAAACAGTAGATAATGTGAGCGAGAGAAACAGTAGGTAATGTGAGGGAGAGAAACAGTAGATAATGTGAGGGAGAGAAACAGTAGATAATGTGAGCGAGAGAAACAGTAGGTAATGTGAGGGAGAGAAACAGTAGATAATGTGAGGGAGAGAAACAGTAGATAATGTGAGCGAGAGAAACAGTAGGTAATGTGAGGGAGAGAAACAGTAGGTAATGTGAGGGAGAGAAACAGTAGGTAATGTGAGGGAGAGAAACAGTAGGTAATGTGAGGGAGAGAAACAGTAGGTAAGTGAGCGAGAGAAACAGTAGATAATGTGAGGGAGAGAAACAGTAGATAATGTGAGCGAGAGAAACAGTAGGTAATGTGAGGGAGAGAAACAGTAGATAATGTGAGGGAGAGAAACAGTAAAATATTAAAGGAGGGAAAGCCACCGTGTTAGAGCAGAAACGACGTCTCTGAAGCGCAACATTTCGAAAATTAACATGACTACGTCTGCGTGAAACGTGTGCTAGTAGAGAGAATTACAAGTAATAATATTTAAAATAATGTTATTATTTATTAATAGTAGTAGCAGTAGTAGTAGTAGTAGTAGTAGTAGTAGTAGTAGTAGTAGATAGTAGTAGTAGTTGTAGTAGTAGTGAGTAGTATAGTAGTAGTAGAGTAGTAGTAGTAGCAGTAGTACTAGTAGTAGTAGTAGCAGTAGTACTAGTAGTAGTAGTAGCAGTAGTAGCAGTAGTAGTAGCAGTAGTACTGGTAGTAGTAGTAGTAGTAGTAGTAGTAGTAGTAGTAGCAGTAGTACTAGTAGTAGTAGTAGCAGTAGTAGTAGCAGTAGTACTAGTGAGTAGTAGTACTAGTAGTAGTAGTAGTGCTAGTAGTAGTAGCAGTAGTAGTAGTAGTAGTAGCAGCAGTAGTAGTAATAGAAGTAGTACTAGTAGTAGTGTAGTAATAGTACTAGTAGTAGTAGTAGTACTAGTAGTATAGTACTAGTAGTAGTAGTAATAGAGTAGTAGTACTAGTAGTAGTAAAAAATAGTAGTAGTAGTAGTAGTACTAGTAGTAGTAGTATAGTAATAGTAGTAGTAATAGTAGTAGTAGTACTACGTAGTAGTACTAGTAGTAGTAGTGCACTAGTAGTAGTAGTAGTAGTAGTAATGTAGTGGTAGTAGTATTTAGTAATAGTATGGTATAGTAGTAGTATAAGTAGATAGTACTAGTAGTAGTAGTAGCATAGTAGTAGTATAGTAGTAGTGTAATAGTAGTGGTAGTAGTAGTAGTAATAGTAGTAGTAGTATAGTAGTAGTAGTAGTACTAGTAGTAGTAGTGTACTAATATACTAGTACTAGTAGTAGTAGTAGCACTAGTAGTAGTAGTAGTAGTTAATAGTAGTGGTAGTAGTAGTAGTAATAGTAGTGGTAGTAGTAGTAGTACTAGTATAGTAGTATAATAGTAGTGGTAGTAGTAGTAATAGTAGTAGTAGTAATAGTAGTGGTAGTAGTAGTAGTGGTAGTAGTAGTAGTTAGTAGTAGTAGTAGTAGTAATAGTAGTGGTAGTATAGTAGTAATAGTAGGTAGTAGTAGTAGTAGAAATAATAGTAGTGGTAGTAGTAGTGGTAGTAGTATAGTATGGTAGTAGTAGTAGTAGTAGTAGTAGTAGTAATAGTAGTGGTAGTAGTATTTAGTAATAGTAGTGGTAGTATAGTAGTAGTAATAGTAGTGGGTAGTAGTAGTTAGTAGTAATAGTAGTGGTAGTAGTAGTAGTAATAGTAGTGGTAGTAGTAGTAGTAGTAGTAATAGTAGTGGTAGTAGTAGTAGTAGTAATAGTAGTGGTAGTAGTATTATAGTAATAGTAGTGGTAGTAGTAGTAGTAAGTAGTAATAGTAGTTGGTAGTAGTAGTAATAGTAGTGGTAGTAGTAGTAGTAGTAATAGTAGTGGTAGTAGTAGTAGTAGTAATAGTAGTGGTAGTAGTAGTAGTAATAGTAGTGGTAGTAGTAGTAGTAGTAGTAGTAATAGTAGTGGTAGTAGTAGTAGTAGTATTTAATAGTAGGGGTTTTAGTAGTAGTAGTAGTAGTAATAATAGTGGTAGTAGTAGTAGTAGTAGTAATAGTAGTGGTAGTAGTAGTATTTAGTATAGTAGTGGTAGTAGTAGTAGTAGTAGTAATAGTAGTGGTAGTAGTAGTAGTAGTAATAGTAGTGGTAGTAGTAGTAGTAGTAATAGTAGTGGTAGTAGTAGTAGTAGTAATAGTAGTGGTAGTAGTAGTAGTAGTAGTAATAGTAGTGGTTTAGTAGTAGTAGTAGTAGTAATAGTAGTGGTAGTAGTAGTAGTAGTAGTAATAGTAGGGGTAGTAGTAGTAGTAGTAATAGTAGTGGTATGTAGTTAGTAGTAGTAGTATAATAGTAGTGGTAGTAGTAGTAGTAGTAATAGTAGTGGTAGTAGTAGTAGTAGTAATAGTAGTGGTAGTAGTAGTAGTAGTAATAGTAGTGGTAGTAGTAGTAGTAGTAATAGTAGTGGTAGTAGTAGTAGTAGTAGTAATAGTAGTAGTAGTAGTAGTAGTAGTAGTAATAGTAGTGGTAGTAGTAGTAGTAGTAATAGAACACAAGGAAGTTAAACATTATTGTTTGTTTCAGTGACTTGAGTAACAACAACTTGACGAGTCTTCCTGACCTCGCCTTCAAGGACTACCCAGCACTCGACTACCTGTAAGTACTCATCGAGGTCTCCGTGAATACTGCCCAAGATATTTTAGTACTTCCCCGAAGCTATGACAATATTCAGTGTCTGTACATACTATCGAGCGCCGGAAAGCAAGGCCTAAGGCACTTTCCAGGGCTCTTAGCCAATGTTCACTGCCGTGACTACTTCCCGAGACTTTCTTCCCAAGGCCTAGAAATCGGGACCAGTGCAATCTGTTAAGTATTGTTGAATTTATTAGATGTGAACGATTTAATAACTACAACACATGTGAGAAGTAGAGGCTTTCCAGTAGAGGCTTTCTAGTATAGGCTTTCCGGTAGAAGCTTTCCAGTGGACTTTGAGTTCTGGTCCGCTATTAATATCGCCTGAGTCACAATACCCCTGAGCTACACTCTGCTTCACTGATCTATAACGAGATATACTGAGGTATACTGAACTTATACTGTGTTTCAGGAAGGTGTCGGGCAACAGGATAAGCAGCGTGTCTCCCAAAGCATTCTACCGTTTACCTCTCCATAGCCTGTACGTATCTCAGTTCTTCCCTGTCTGGATATGTTATCTTTAAGACCCTTATATACTAGTTACCCTCTTATGGGGAGGCGTTTTGTCCTATTCTTCCCTTCCTGAAATTAAATTTGATTTCTTCCCATTTCCCTCCAGTGGAACTAAGTCACCAATGGAACTAAGTCACTTTGTCTTAATTTTTTAGGTGGTTATCCTAGAGATAATCTACACACATGCTGTTATGTGTGATAATTTATGTAACTGTATTTATGTATACCTGTACCTGAATAAACTTGTTTACCACTGCGGGTTCAGTTATTTCCCCGTGAATATAACAATAATACATTTGCTATGTAGTAACGGCGTTGTTGTTCAGGTACCTGGATAACAACCACCTCTCCGGGCTGCTGACGGGGTCGCTGCCGGAGGACTTGCTTGAACTCTCACTGGAGGACAATTTCTTCAGCAGTGTGCCTCCCAGCCTCTCTCAGCTGGTACAGCTGCAGTTTTTGTAAGTGTACTCACCTATTTGTGATTGCTGAGTCTCACCTCCTGGCCCTGCCCCTAAAACTGGCTGCTACTGGGCTCACCCTCTCCTTGTTTCGTGAGCCCTATCATATGTAGTCTTAGAGCCCGAGGTTGGGTAACAGTTCTATGCCTTTCGAACTGATAGTGCGAAAAACCTGGAGCTGCTATCCAACCCCCTTCTAGGGGGGGGCCCTCTCTTGATGTCTTATTTATGCCAATTAAAAACAAAGTCGATCACTAACTAGAGTAGAACCTCGCTTGTGAATGATCTCCATTCTTATAAAGACATGTGTAACACCTGGGTATCATCACGTGAAGACGTTACGCTAATCAATACAAAGATATGTTTTGATGATTCCTCCATCCCGATAATTACCCAGTTTACGTAGCCATTAACTCTCTTGTGTTACTGTATATTCCCTGGTTTAGGTGGTCTATATCATGCCCTGTCCGTGTCTCCCGCAGGAACCTGGCCAGAAATAAGGTGTCCGTGCTGCGCGTCGGCGACCTGAGCGGCTTGCGCAGTCTGACATCTTTGTGAGTAAACAAATCCACGTGGTCGGCGCCCACGTGGTCTGGTACCAGCTGATCGTGTACGCATGGGGAATTTGCCACATGTGCAACACCTGGATGTCTTTATTTGAAGATTCTTCGCCAACCAGTGGCTTTATCAGTCCAGTACAGAGATGATATATGAAGACAGTAGACGATGAGGCAATTAGTCCCTTAGTTAGTCCAGGTTAGTCATCAGTCCCTTAGTCACCCCCCAAGCTGGGGGGACTGACCACCTCATCGTCTACTGTCTTCGCATATCATCTCTATATGGGACTGATAAAGCTACTGGTTGGGGAAGAATCTTTAAATAAAGACACCCAGGTGTTGCACATGTGGCTGAGTCATCATCTTGTCAGTGTTGTTTACCATTACTGTAATGATACGTGTATTCAACCAGTTTATTCTTATCTGGAGTTGAGTTCTTGAATCAGATTTCATTGTCGGTGAATTTGTTCTTTCTCTCTCTCTCTCTCTCTCTCTCTCTCTCTCTCTCTCTCTCTCTCTCTCTCTCTCTCTCTCTCTCTCTCTCTCTCTCTCTCTCTCTCTCTCTCTTTCTTCTCTCTCTCTCTCTGTCACTGTCCCTGTCACTGTCTCTCTGTCTCTGTCTCTGTCTCTCTGTCTGTCTGTCTCTCTCTGTCTCTGTCTCTCTCTTCTGTTTTTTACATGTGTGCTTCTTCATCTACTATTATTTTGTGACCTTTTTTTCCTTTTTTCCTTTTTCTTTTTTTCCTTCTTTTCGTCTTCTTCTTCTTCTTCTCCTCCTCTTTGTAGATAATCATCATCATCATCATTATCATAATCATCATCATCGTCATCATAAATTTTTCTAACTTCACGATTCTGCCTAGAAGTGGAAATACTTGAGTTTCTCTCCTCGTCTCTCACTCCTCTAACCAATAACTGTTATCTCTCACCAGGTATCTCCACCAGAACAAGATAACCGAGATAGAGAGTGCGGCCCTAGAGACACTTTCTCAGCTGCAAGTCTTGTAAGTATCTCTCAGATATCTCTCACTCCTGCCAGACATTGAACCAATATTGTTGGGAACTTGCGTCTCTACGTATGTTTGTCGCTATTATCCCGCAGTGTTCCTGTTACATGTGTCTCATCTGTCTTTCACCAGTGTTTCACCTCTCTCATTTCAGGGATCTTGCGGATAATCGTCTGCTGAAAGTGCCAGAGGCTGTTCTTCGGTGTCTCCAGCTCACCCGCCTGTGAGTATGTGACACCATAATGGAGGAACAATGCAAGTTCTTATCATATCGGCTGTAATTTACTCTAATTGGCCTGCTATTGAGGTCAGGCTTATTGGGATGCAATTTGGCACTAATGCCACACTTATTGTGGCACCACTTAGGTAGGTGGAAAGGGTGGTTTTGATGAGGTCTTGTGTTCTTATGTTTACAAGTGAATTCCAGGGCCGCTGGGGCGTTGATCCCCGAAATACCTTCCAGATACACTTCCTAATAGTTACACTAACCTGACCTCTCTCTCCCTTTCTCTCTTTTTTTAGGTTCTTGGGTAACAACCAGCTTACCTACATAGGGGAAGGAGCCTTCAGAAACCTGACACGCCTCAAGCAGGTGATCCTTCAGGGGAACCCACTCCTGACGGTCCATAGAAACGCCTTCGCCCACCTGCCTTCTCTCACCAAGCTGTACGTCACTTTGTAGAGGGTCACCTGAGGTCAACTTCACCTGTCTTGGGTCATCTTCAGTTATCTAGGTTACCTTAGGGTCATCTTCAGTTATCTTGGGTCTTTTTGAGTTGTTTTCAAATACTTAACATTGAATATCGCAGTAATAAAGTAATACAGTAATATTAAAAATACAGTAATATTAAAAATACAGTAATATTAAAAATACAGTAATATTAAAAATACAGTAATATTAAAATTATAGTAATAATAATAATTAATTGAAAGTCATGACATCATCATTAGTCTTTAATTATATAAATGTTGATAAGTGTGGATGGAGGAATTATCACAATAAGATCATATATGTATAATTAATCAGTTTGTTTCCTGTCGTGTGTCGTTTCGTGTCGTGTAAGATGACTTCTCCATGATTATATACTTGGGTCGTCTGGAATTGTTGGAAATAATATGGGCCATGAGGGCCACCTGGTTTATGAGGGTCACTTGGTCATGAGGGTCACCTGGGTCATGAGGGTCACCTGGGTCATGAGGGTCACCTGGGTCATGGGAGTCACCTGGGTAAACATGTGAGGGTCCCCTGGGTCATGAGGGTCACCTGGGTCATGAGGGTCACCTGAGTCATGAGGGTCACCTGGGTCATGAGGGTCACCTGGGTCATGAGAGTCACCTGAGTCATGAGGGTCACCTGGGTCATGAGGGCCACCTGGGTCATGAGGGTAACCAGGGTCATGAGGGTCACCTGGGTCATGAGGGTCACCTGGGTCATGAGGGTCACCTGGGTCATGAGGGTCACCTGGGTCATGAGGGTAACCTGGGTCATGAGGGTCACCTGGGTCACCTGGGTCATGAGGGTCACCTGGGTCATGAGGGTCACCTGGGTCATGAGGGTCACCTGGGTCATGAGGGTCACCTGGGTCATGAGGGTAACCTGGGTCATGAGGGTCACCTGGGTCACCTGGGTCATGAGGGTCACCTGGGTCATGAGGGTCACCTGGGTCATGAGGGTCACCTGGGTCATGAGGGTCACCTGGGTCATGAGGGTCACCTGGGTCATGAGGGTCACCTGGGTCATGAGGGTCACCAGGGTCATGAGGATCACCTGGGTCATGAGGGTCACCTGGGTCATGAGGGTAACCAGGGTCATGAGGGTCACCTGGGTCATGAGGGTCACCTGGGTCATGAGGGTAACCAGGGTCATGAGGGTCACCTGGGTCATGAGGGTCACCTGGGGTCCCATATGAGGGGTCACCTGGGTCATGAGGGTCACCTGGGTCATGAGGGTCTCCAGGGTCATGAGGATCACGTGGGTCATGAGGGTCACCTGGGTCATGAGGGTAACCAGGGTCATGAGGGTCACCTGGGTCATAAGGGTCACCTGGGTCATGAGGGTAACCAGGGTCATGAGGGTCACCTGGGTCATGAGGGTCATCTGGGTCATGAGAGTCACCTGGGTCATAAGGGTCACCTGGGTCATGAGGGTCACCTGGGTCATGAGGGTCACCTGGGTCATGAGGGTCATCTGGGTCATGAGAGTCACCTGGGTCATAAGGGTCACCTGAGTCATAAGGGTCACCTGGGTCATGAGGGTCACCTGGGTCATGAGGGTCATCTGGGTCATGAGAGTCACCAGGGTCATAAGGGTCACCAGGGTCATGAGGGTCACCTGGGTCATGAGGGTCACCTGGGTCATGAGGGTCACCTGGTTCACCTGTAGATTACATCCGTCCCAACGATGTAATTTATCAAGTTATATAATTGAAAGTTTGTATGCTAGCGCTCTCTCTCTCTTTCCATACACACATATAATGTGTGTATATATTTTATATATATATTATATAAAATATATATATATATATATATATATATATATATATATATATATATATATATTATTTTTTATTATCACACTGGCCGATTCCCACCAAGGCAGGGTGGCCCGAAAAAGAAAAACTTTCACCATCATTCACTCCATCACTGTCTTGCCAGAAGGGTGCTTTACACTACAGTTTTTAAACTGCAACATTAACACCCCTCCTTCAGAGTGCAGGCACTGTACTTCCCATCTCCAGGACTCAAGTCCGGCCTGCCGGTTTCCTGAACCCCTTCATAAATGTTACTTTGCTCACACTCCAACAGCACGTCAAGTATTAAAAACCATTCGTCTCCATTCACTCCTATCAAACACTCTCACGCACGCCTGCTGGAAGTCCAAGCCCCTCGCACACAAAACCTCCTTTACCCCCTCCCTCCAACCTTTCCTAGGCCGACCCCTACCCCGCCTTCCTTCCACTGCAGACTGATACACTCTTGAAGTCATTCTGTTTCGCTCCATTCTCTCTACATGTCCGAACCACCTCAACAACCCTTCCTCAGCCCTCTGGACAACAGTTTTGGTAATCCCGCACCTCCTCCCAACTTCCAAACTACGAATTCTCTGCATTATATTCACACCACACATTGCCCTCAGACATGACATCTCCACTGCCTCCAGCCTTGTCCTCGCTGCAACATTCATCACCCATGCTTCACACCCATATAAGAGTGTTGGTAAAACTATACTCTCATACATTCCCCTCTTTGCCTCCAAGGACAAAGTTCTTTGTCTCCACAGACTCCTAAGTGCAGCACTCACCCTTTTCCCCTCATCAATTCTATGATTCACCTCATCCTTCATAGACCCATCCGCTGACACGTCCTCTCCCAAATATCTGAATACATTCACCTCCTCCATACTCTCTCCCTCCAATCTGATATCCAATCTTTCATCACCTAATATTTTTGTTATCCTCATAACCTTACTCTTTCCTGTATTCACTTTTAATTTTCTTCTTTTGCACACCCTACCAAATTCATCCACCAATCTCTGCAACTTCTCTTCAGAATCTCCTAAGAGCACAGTGTCATCAGCAAAGAGCAACTGTGACAACTCCCACTTTATGTGTGATTCCTTATCTTTTAACTCCACGCCTCTTGTCAAGACCCTCGCATTTACTTCTCTTACAACCCCATCTATAAATATATTAAACAACCACGGTGACATCACACATCCCTGTCTAAGGCCTACTTATACTGGGAAATAATTTCCCTCTTTCCTATGTACTCTAACTTGAGCCTCACTATCCTCGTAAAACTCTTCACTGCTTTCAGTAACCTACCTTCTACACCATACAACCTGCAACATCTGCCACATTGCCCCCCTATCCACCCTGTCATACGCCTTTTCCAAATCCATAAATGCCACAAAGACCTCTTTAGCCTTATCTAAATACTGTTCACTTATATGTTTCACTGTAAACACCTGGTCCACACCCCCCTACCTTTCCTAAAGCCTCCTTGTTCATCTGCTATCCTATTCTCAGTCTTACTTTTAATTCTTTCAATAATAACTCTACCATACACTTTACCAGGTATACTCAACAGACTTATCCCCCTATAATTTTTGCACTCTCTTTTGTCCCCTTTGCCTTTATACAAAGGAACTATGCATGCTCTCTGCCAATCCCTAGGTACCTTACCCTCTTCCATACATTTATTAAATAATTGCACCAACCACTCCAAAACTATATCCCCACCTGCTTTTAACATTTATATCTTTATCCCATCAATCCCGGCTGCCTTACCCCCTTTCATTTTACCTACTGCCTCACGAACTTCCCCCACACTCACAACTGGCTCTTCCTCACTCCTACAAGATGTTATTCCTCCTTGCCCTATACACGAAATCACAGCTTCCCTATCTTCATCAACATTTAACAATTCCTCAAAATATTGCCTCCATCTTCCCAATACCTCTAACTCTCCATTTAATAACTCTCCTCTCCTATTTTTAACTGACAAATCCATTTGTTCTCTAGGCTTCCTTAACTTGTTAATTTCACTCCAAAACTTTTTCTTATTTCAACAAAATTTGTTGATAACATCTCACCCACTCTCTCATTTGCTCTCTTTTTACATTGCTTCACCACTCTCTTAACCTCTCTCTTTTTCTCCGTATACTCTTCCCTCCTTGCATCACTTCTACTTTGTAAAAACTTCTCATATGCTAACTTTTTCTCCCTTACTACTCTCTTTACATTATCATTCCACCAATCGCTCCTCTTCCCTCCGCACCCACTTTCCTGTAACCACAAACTTCTGCTGAACACTCTAACACTACATTTTTAAACCTACCCCATACCTCTTCGACCCCATTGCCTATGCTCTCATTAGCCCATCTATCCTCCAATAGCTGTTTATATCTTTCCCTAACTGCCTCCTCTTTTAGTTTATAAACCTTCACCTCTCTCTTCCCTGATGCTTCTATTCTCCTTGTATCCCATCTACCTTTTACTCTCAGTGTAGCTACAACTAGAAAGTGATCTGATATATCTGTGGCCCCTCTATAAACATGTACATCCTGAAGTCTACTCAACAGTCTTTTATCTACCAATACATAATATAACAAACTACTGTCATTTCGCCCTACATCATATCTTGTATACTTATTTATCCTCTTTTTCTTAAAATATGTATTACCTGTAACTAAACTCCTTTCTATACAAAGTTCAATCAAAGGGCTCCCATTATCATTTACACCTGGCACCCCAAACTTACCTACCACACCCTCTCTAAAAGTTTCTCCTACTTTAGCATTCAGGTCCCCTACCACAATTACTATCTCACTTGGTTCAAAGGCTCCTATACATTCACTTAACATCTCCCAAAATCTCTCTCTCTCCTCTGCATTCCTCTCTTCTCCAGGTGCATACACGCTTATTATGACCCACTTCTCGCATCCAACCTTTACTTTAATCCACATAATTCTTGCATTTACACATTCATATTCTCTTTTCTCCTTCCATAACTGATCATTCAACATTACTGCTACCCCTTCCTTTGCTCTAACTCTCTCAGATACTCCAGATTTAATCCCATTTATTTCCCCCCACTGAAACTCTCCTCCCCCCTTCAGCTTTGTTTCGCTTAGGGCCAGGACATCCAACTTCTTTTCATTCATAACATCAGCAATCATCTGTTTCTTGTCATCTGCACTACTTCCACGCACATTCAAGCATCCCAGTTTTATAAAGTTTTTTCTTCTTCTCTTTTTTAGTAAATGTCTACAGGAGAAGGGGTTACTAGCCCATTGCTCCGGCATTTTAGTCGCCTCATACGACACGCATGGCTTACGGAGGAAAGATTCTTTTCCACTTCCCCATGGACAATAGAAGAAATAAAGAAGAACAAGAGCTATGTAGAAAAAGGAGAAAAACCTAGATGTATGTATATATATATATATGCATGTGCGTGTCTGTGAAGTGTGACCAAAGTGTAAGTTGGAAATAGCAAGATATCCCTGTTATCTAGCGTGTTTATGAGACAGAAAAAGACACCAGCAATCCTACCATCATGCAAAACAGTTACAGGTTTCTGTTTCACAGTCATCTGGCAGGACGGTAGTACTTCCCTGGGTGGTTGCTGTCTACCAACCTACTACCTATAAATATATATATATATATATAATATATATATATATATATATATATTATATATATAATATATATATATATATATATATATATATACGTAATATGCTTTACATTTGTTCTCACAGGTAAAGCGGTCATCACTAGACAATATACACTGAGGTGTCTCTCTCAGTGTATATACACTGACACTACTTTAATTCCACTTTTAGGGATTAAAGCTTCAAGGATGCTTTAATCCATGCAGCTTTAATGGCCCTCTGAGTAGTCGATAGACTTTAAACCCAATTAAGCGACCAAGTAAGGTCATGTGATTGTGCCATGTCAGCGTTGATATACATGTGAAATCGTTCGTATTAGGGCAAGTTCTCAGTGAGGTCCCTGGCTAAGATTGACATAGTCTAGAGTTCTAGGTGCAGATTTTTTTTTCAAGATTAATTAACTCTTATTCAGTTGGTCAAACAGTCAATCATTCCTCTAGCCAGGTCAGTGTCAATAAAAATCAGTCATCTCGTTAGGTAGGTCAGTCAGGGCTCAAACATCCCTTTAGCCAGGTCAGTCATGCCTCTAGACAAGACAGTCATGCCTCTAGACGGATGAGTTATGCCTCTAGACAGGTCAGTCATGCCTCTAGACAAGACAGTCATGCCTCTAGACAGATCAGTCGTTCCAACGACTGCCCTGTCTAGAGGCCTCTAGACAGGGCAGAGAGGATTCAGATCATGTTCTTCTATTGCAGCATCCTGAAGGAGACACGGGAGATGAGAGAGTTCCCATCCCTGAACGGCACCCACAGACTAGAGATGCTGAGGATAGACCGAGCCTCTCTAACCTCGGTCCCGGACCACCTCTGCTCCCTCACCCCCAGGCTCAGGAGTCTGTGAGTACTACATCCCTTATCCATCGTGAGGAGCTCTGGATCCAGTGAATTGGAGCTAATTCTCCCACTCTCCCCTTTCTCGAGACTGACTTGATTTCCCCGCACTTCCTCAGAAGCTGTATAACCCTTACGAGTATTGAGCTTCCCTGTGAAAATATAATAATAATAATAATAATAATAATAATAATAATAATAATAATAATAATAATAATAATAATAATAATAGTAATAATAATAGTAGTAATAATAATAATAATAATAATAATAATAATAATAATAATAATAATAATAACAATAATAATAATTATATGCAGTTTACTATCTCTATTTGAACCTTAATTGTCATAGTGTAACCATTGACATGTAATTACAAGCAGTGCTAATTAGCTTTGACCCCTGAGATTGTGCTAACTAGCCTTGACCTCACTTGACCTGTCTTTACAGGAATCTTCACCTCAACTCTATCACTGACATCCCTCTGCTGGAAGGCTGCCACCACCTCAAACTACTGTGAGTATAATAATAATGATAATAATAATAATAATAATAATAATAATATTAATAATAATAATTCAGCAACTTTTAAGAGCTGTCAGATAGGTGGTAATTTTTTGGTGTATCTGATGTTATGTTGTGTCTAGCCTGACTGATAACCCTCCTTTCGTAATAATGAGGAAATAAAGAGTGGTTGTGTCACTTGACCTGTGACTATGACCTCAGCCTCGGTATTACATTAGTGCCTTGTTTGACCTTCATGACCCTCTTGCATCCTGTATTATTTTTTGGTTCTAATAGGCATCCTGGATTTGCCCTGTTTTACCTTGACCTCTTCTGACCTGAGTTCTTTTTCGGTAGTGACTTGAGTGACAATGCCATCAGCAGCTTGGGTCATGGGAGGCTGCAAGGAGCGCCCTTCCTGCAGGATTTACTCCTTCAACACAACAAGATTACTCACGTCCCAGCTGATGCCTTCCTCGGCCTCTCCCACCTGCAGGTCCTGTACGTGTCGTGTTAGTGTTGTGTTGCAAGCTAAGTTACTTCCAGGTTCCGTACTTAATACAAGAAGGGAGGAGCACTGTAGGAGGCCTTCTGGCCCATGCAACATGTCTCTTAGTAAACAAGAGCATGAAATTCCCTGTATTCTAATAGGCTTTCTGCTTGCACACCTAAATATCACCATCTCTGTACAAACATTGCTGAAATAAAAAATCTTTGATCCTTAATCTTTAATGAAAACATAAGAAAGGAGAAACACTGGAGGCCTACTGGTTCATACTTCGCAAGTCAGTGTCAAAGCCAAACCCACTTAAAAAATATTCTCTCATCCCAATATTAATGTTACCCAAGGAATAAACTTTGATAACCCTATTAACTCAAGTGCAAATCCCACTCACATCCAACCACTCTCACTCATGTATTTATCTAGGTATCACATTTGCCATTTTCCACTTAACTGGTACAGTGTTGTAGTGATTTGCTGAAGAGCCTAGCTAATAATTTACTAAGTTTCTTCTTACATTCCTCTATAGCCCTTAAAAATTAATTAACCTATCTGAAGGACGTTGCCAGGGGTCAACCCCCCTGCAGCCAGGTCCCAGGCCAGACTTTCTGGTGGATCAAAGCTTGGTCAATCAGGATGTTACTGCTGGCCGCATACAGTCCAATGCATGGGCCACAGCCCGGCTGATCAGGAACTGATTTGAAGAACTTGTCCAGTTCCCTAACTCAGGCTAATCAGATCTACCTAACCTAATCCACCCATAAACCAGCCTAACTTAACTCAACCATAAACCAGCCTGTATTCCCCAGCCTTCATCACCCTCCTTCATCTCCCTTCCTCTCTCTGTCTCTCCCATTACGCTTCACTCTTTGCAGTCTTCCCATCACTCTTCATCTTCCCCCAGGGCGCTGCAGCAGAACCAGATCGTTCATATCGAAGAAGACGCCTTCCTTCCTCTAGTTAGCCTCGAGGACATGTAAGTACTCACTCACTTCCTCGTGGAAATTGAAACTTCTTACACATTGGTTCCCTGGCTCTGTACTCCTCAGTTTATCTGCTGTACACAATGTAGTGATTAAGTCTATAACTGTGAAGGTAGAAAGGGTACTGGGACAGCCTTGGGTAACCCCGGTTAATTAGGGTTACCAATTAGATTTCAGTCAGGTAATTGGACAGGCATGTTGAGCTATAGCATATGATGGCTCAAAATCATTTTTCACATTTTTGCTAGGTAACCATAATACACACCTTTCTAAGGTATTGCAATATCTAAATATTCAGTTCTGTAGCAGTACTATATCCCAGGTTAATACACTACAGTAATGACACATATTTGTCTGCTTTCTCACTGTTATATCAGTCTCCAAATCCATCTAAGGTCTTTTCCCATCTCCCTTATGTGTTCATGCGAGGCAACCATATTTTTCACTGTTTTCACCTGGGAATTGAACCCCAAACATCTCTGACCGGAGCTGCTAGTGTAACCTCCCTGACTCATTTACCTTTCTTCTTTGTTCCCATTCTTTGTTTCCATTTGCCTTCCTTAACACAGGAGTCTTGACATATTTCATTACTTGCTGTGCAGAACTCCTCTTGTGTGATAGAATATGACAGGGAAACATAGGTGACTTCAGTCACCACACTATCATGTAGAGCAGCAGCATACTGCTGATGTTTCCACTATGTAACATCATGCACTGTAGAGTAAGGTAGAAGCACACTGCTGTTGTTCCACATTTTGTTTAATAAATTAGCTGTTAACAATGTTCTGTCTCTTTGCCCCAGACTGTGACTAACTACGTGCCCCCTCTCTACCCCAGACCGTGACTAACCACGTGCCCCCTTCCTCGTCTCTCCGACAGCAACCTGGGTGACAACGTGTTCCCTCAGCTGCCAGGGCGGGGTCTGAAACACGTGCTCTCCATCAAGGTCCACAACAACCCTTACCTCAGAGTCTTCCCAGGACCTGAACACTTCCCTCACGTGCGCACCCTGACCCTCTCTTACGCATACCACTGCTGCCCCTTCCTCAGGTGAGTTACCCCTCACCGTAACCTCACTAGATGAATCCCTCCCTCCTTAGGGCACTCTTTCTCTCCAGGTGGGAAGGTGCGGCTCCAGTGTCCTAATGTAGTTCAATGAAAGACTTCTAATACAGTATAGTCTATGATGCAGTTATAGTATTATACATTTCATATATGATGTAGTGAAAATGTAGATGTTTATGATGCAGTAGTGTATAATATAGTACTCTAGATGATGACAGACTACACTAGCTTATAATGTATTCCTTTACATTATAATTCAAAATAATGCAAGGTGATATATATTACTTAATATTTGTCTTCATTATTCATTGTTGTCATCATGAATTCAAGTAATATATATATATATATATATATATATATATATATATATATATATATATATATATATATATATATATATATATATATATATATAAATATATATATATATATATAATATATATATATGCCAGGTTATGGTAGCCACCACCAAAATTTATGGGTAGTAGGTTGGTAGACAGCAACCGCCCAGGGAGGTACTACCGTCCTGCCAAGTGAGTGTAAAACGAAAGCCTGTAATTGTTTTTACAAGATGGTAGGATTGCTGGTGTCTTTTGTCTATCTCATAAATATGCAAGATTACAGGTATGTCTTGCTACTTCTACTTACACTTAGGTCACACTACACATACATGTACACGTTTATTTATACACACTCATCTGAGTTTTCTTTGATTTTATCTTAATAGTTCTTGGTCTTATTACTTTTCCTTTTATATCCATCGGGATGTGGAATAAGAATCTTTCCTTTGTAAGCCATGCGTGTTGTAAAAGTCAACTAAAATGCCGGGAACAATGGGCTAGTAACCCCTTTTCCTGTAAAGATTACTAAAAAGAATAAGAAGAAGAAAATTGTCAAAGTGGGAAGTCTGAATGTGTGTGGATGTTGTGCAAATGATAAGAAAGAGATGATTGTGGATGTTATGAATGAGAAGAAACTGGATGTCCTGGCTTTAAGTGAAACAAAGCTGAAGGGGGTGGGAGAGTTTCAATGGAGAGGAATAAAGGGGATTAGGTCAGGGGTTTAAAATAGAGTTAGAGCTAAAGAAGGAGTAGCAATAATGTTGAAGGATAAGATATGGAGGAAAAGAGGGACTATAAATGTATTAATTCAAGGATTATGTGGAGTAAAATAAAGATTGGATGTGAAAAGTGGGTTATAGTAAGTATACATGCACCTGGAGAAGAGAGAAGTGTAGAGGAGAGAGAGAGATTTTGGGAAATGTTGAGTGAATGTGGGGAGTTTTGAACAAAGTGTGAGAGTACTTGTGGTTGGGGATTTCATTGCTAAAGTGGGTAAAAATATTGTGGAGGGAGTAGTAGGTAAATCTGGGGTGCTAGGGATAAATGTAAATGGGAACCTTTAATTGAGCTATGTGTAGAAAGAGATTTGGTAATAAGTAATACATATTTTATGAAAAAGAGGATAAATAAATATACAAGGTATGATGTAGCACGTAATGAAAGTAGTTTGTTAGATTATGTATTGGTGGATAAAAGGTTGATGGGTAGGCTCCAGGATGTACATGTTTATAGAGGGGCAACTGATATATCGGATCATTATTTAGTTGTACTACAGTTAGAGTAAGAGGTAGATGGGAAAAGAAGGGAAGGTGGCAACAACAAGTAAGAGGGAAGTGAAAGTGTTATAAACTAAGGGAGGAGGAAGTTGGGGAGATATAAGCGGCTATTGGCAGAAAGGTGGGCTTGCAAAGATGAGTAGTGGGGGGGTGAAGAGGTTGGAAAAGTTTTAAAAATGCAGTATTAGAATGTTTGGGGGGGAAGTTTTGTGGGTTTTAGGAGGGTGGGGCCCGGAGGAAAGAGGAGTGATTGGTGGAAGATGAAGCAAAGGGTGTGATAAAAGAGAAAAAGTTAGCTTAAGAGAGGTTTTTACAAAGCAGAAGTGTTATAAGAAGAGCAGAGTATATGGAAAGTAAAAGAAAGGTAAAGAGAGTGGTGAGAGAGTGCAAAAGGAGAGCAGATGATAGAATGGGAGAGGCACTGTCAAGAAATTTTAATGAAAATAAGAAAAAAATTTGGAGTGAGTTAAACAAGTTAAGAAAGCCTAGGGAAAGTATGGATTTGTCAGTTAAAAACAGAGTAGGGGAGTTAGTAGATGGAGAGAGGGAGGTATTAGGTAGATGGCGAGAATATTTTGAGGAACTTTTAAATGTTGAGGAAGAAAGGGAGGCAGTAATTTCATGCACTGGCCAGGGAGGTATACCATCTTTTAGGAGTGTTGAAGAGCGGAATGTAAGTGTGGGGAAGGTACGTGAGGCATTACGTAGAATGAAAGGGGGCAAAGCAGCTGGAACTGATGGGATCATGACAGAAATGTTAAAAGCAGGGGAGGATATAGTGTTGGAGTGGTTGGTACTTTTGTTTAATAAATGTATGAAAGAGGGGAAGGTACCTAGGGATTGGCGGAGAGCATGTATAGTTCCTTTATATAAAGGGAAGGGGGACAAAAGAGATTGTAAAAATTATAGAGGAATAAGTTTACTGAGTATACCAGGAAAAGTGTACGGTAGGGTTATAATTGAAAGAATTAGAGGTAAGACGGAATGTAGGATTGCGGATGAGCAAGAAGGTTTCAGAGTGGGTAGGGGATGCGTAGATCAAGTGTTTACATTGAAGCATATATGTGAACAGTATTTAGATAAAGGTAGGGAAGTTTTTATTGCATTTATGGATTTAGAAAAGGCATATTGATAAAGTGGATAGGGGAGCAATGTGGCAGATGTTGCAAGTATATGGAATAGATGGTAAGTTACTAAATGTTGTAAAGAGTTTTTATGAGGATAGTGAGGCTCAGGTTAGGGCGTGTAGAAGAGAGGGAGACTACTTCCCGGTAAAAGTAGGTCTTAGACAGGAATGTGTAATGTCACCATGGTTGTTTAATATATTTATAGATGGGGTTGTATAGGAAGTAAATGCTAGGGTGTTCGGGAGAGGGGTAGGATTAAATTATGGGGAATCAAATACAAAATGGGAATTGACACAGTTACTTTTTGATGATACTGTGCTTATGGGAGTTTCTAAAGAAAAATTGCGAAGGTTAGCGGATGAGTTTGGGAGTGTGTGTAAAGGTAGAAAGTTGAAAGTGAACATTGAAAAGAGTAAGGTGATGAGGGTATCAAATGATTTAGATAAAGAAAAATTGGATATCAACTTGGGGAGGAGGACTATGGAAGAAGTGAATGTTTTCAGATGCTTGGGAGTTGACGTGTCGGCGGATGGATTTATGAAGGATGAGGTTAATCATTTAACTGATGAGGGAAAAAATGTGAGTGGTGCGTTGAGGTATATGTGGAGTCAAAAAACGTTATCTATGGAGGCAAAGAAGGGAATGTATGAAAGTATAGTAGTACCAACACTCATATGGGTGTGAAGCTTGGGTTGTGAATCCAGCAGCGAGGAGGCAGTTGGAGGCAGTGGAGATGTCCTGTCTAAGGGCAATGTGTGGTGTAAATATTATGCAGAAAATTAGGAGTGTGGAAATTAGGAGAAGGTGTGGAGTTAATAAAAGTATTAGTCAGAGGGCTGAAGAGGGGTTGTTGAGGTGGTTTGGTCATTTAGAGAGAATGGATCAAAGTAGAATGACATGGAGAGCATTTAAATCTGTAGGAGAAGGAAGGCGGGGTAGGGGTCGTCCTCGAAAAGGTTGGAAGGAAGGGGTAAGGGAGGTTTTATGGGCGAGGGGCTTGGACTTCCAGCAGGCGTGCATGAGCGTGTTCAATAGGAGTGAATGGAGACGAATGGTATTTGGAACCTGACGAGCTGTTGGAGTGTGAGCAGGGTAATATTTAGTGAAGGGATTCAGGGAAACTGGTTATTTTTATATAGCCGGACTTGAGTCCTGGAAATGCGAAGTACAATGCCTGCACTTTAAAGGAGGGGTTTGGGATATTGGCAGTTTGGAGGGATATATTGTGTATCTTTATACGTATATGCTTCTAAACTGTTGTGTTCTGAGCACCTCTGCAAAAACAGTGATAATGTGTGAGTGAGGTGAAAGTGTTGAATGATGATGAAAGTACTTTCTTTTTGGGGATTTTCTTTCTTTTTGGGTCACCCTACCTCGGTGGGAGACGACTGACTTGTGAAAAAAAATATATATATATATACAGTGTATATATATATATATATATATATATATATATATATATATATATATATATATATATATATATATATATATATATATTATATATATATTATATATATATATATATATGAAGTGTGTTGAGTGGTCAGACATGATGTTTCTCTCTCCTACCCAACATTACAATCTCATTATTTCTTTTCAAAAATACTCCTGAGCTGTTTTATTCTTACTTAACATTGCTAGGTACTCAGCTAATTTTTTTTTCATATAATTTTCTTGGCCTTTAAGCTTAATCTAAGTTGGTATTGTTTTCCTGAGTGTAATCCAAACCATCCTACTCTCGGTTTCTTGTCCACTGAATCAAATTTACACTTCATAAAGTCAATTTTCTGCCATTTACAAAGTTCGACCCTCCCTCCCGTCCAACTTATTTTCAGATAATTTACATGGTATTGTTTTTCTCTGGGTGTTAGCGGACGGAGGTTTGAGCCTTCAGTGGTTCATGGGTACCGTAAGTCACACTGCTTCTTATAAATAAAAATAAATGTCTAGTTGTCTTCCAAGTTTGTTTACTTTTAATTTGATCTCAGCTGTCCCATCCAAATGATTTTCATTTATTTTTGGCCAACCTCTGTACTTTTCGCCTACTCCAACTCACATTTCTTATATATATACCAAGATGTGTATGTCTATCAGTGTATATACTCCAATAGTTTACCATAATCCCTAATTTAGGGTTTAAAAATGTTCTTGACTGGTGGTGAAAAGATGACATGCAGCCTTAATGGCCTTCGTGTTGTTGATAGGCTATAAATCCCTCCCCCATTAACCAACCAGCCAACCAAATTGATCTCCTGGCAGCTTGGAGATGGACGGGTGGGAGGAGGGCGAGGAGACCACCACCATCAGCGAGGTAGTCGTCTTCAACGTGTCTCAATTCCAGGACATCCATCCAGCGCTATGGAACACCTCCAGTCACTGGAATCCAGAGGGTAAGTCTCTATTAACTTGTGTGTGTGTGTGCATGAGAGCTCTTGGAGTGGGAAGCACAGAGTGCCTGCACTCTCAAAGTTAGGTCAGGGATGTTGCTAGTCCCAGGATCTTCTGGTGTTGAATGAATAGTGATGAATGTGTTAATATTCCCCAGTATGCATACATCAATATATCCATAAATACACATTTTTTCATGAAAACTATACAACATATATATATATATATATATATATATATATATTTATATATATATATATATATATATATATATATATAATATATATATATATATATATATATATATATATATATATATATATATAATATATATATAATATATATATATATATACAGTAAATAATTCAACGTATTTTTGTGACTATATTAGTAAATACATATGAACTCTTTAACCAACTTTAAAATTAACTAGTTATTTTAGGAGTTGTTGATGTTTATTTGGAAACTTGTGAATGTGACAGTGAGTTGGCAGTGACCTGCACTGTCAGTCCACGGCTCATACCTATGTGTCACTAGCCCTGAAGGTATGTCCCCATACCCTGAAGACACGTACCCATGTCCCCTTGTTCGGAAAGCACATATCCATGAAAAAAATAAGGATAAAAATGTGAAATGCCAGTAATAAGAGATTGGTACATTTCAGCTCTAGTCTGAGACCCTCTTCAGTAGATGACTTAATCTGCTGACCAAGGCCAAAATTTACAGATTTCTTTTACCTGTGATTCATTTTTGGGTGTAAGTAGCTCGTTACTTTCACCGATCATTCTTGATGGCACTCTAACCCAACCACAACTTTTTCACTTACGTTGAGACGTTTTTTCACTTTTTTTTACCTTGGGTAGGCATGCCTGTGTCCCTTTATCCTGTAGACAGGTTCTGGTCTCGTTATCCTAAAGAAATTTTCCCTATCCACCTTTTTTCTATTTGTCCCTCTAACACCCGTAACAGACTTCTTTCCGTTTGTAGAAATCTTGGCTAAGTTTGGGTCGGTGTGGGATAACCTGGCAAGTGCCTTCTCTCTAGCCAACACCACCACCATCGCCACCACCATCGCTTCCACCACCACCGACACTACGGTTTCCACCTCCACCAGCACCGCCGGCAAGGTCGTCAGAAGCGGCTCATCCTCGACCCTGAGGTGGTCAGGTCAACCTCGCTCCCAGCAGCTGCTGCAAGTGACGCCTTCCTCACTCCGAATGCGACCTCAGTGCATCCCTCTACCAGGTCACTACTTAAGAAAGAGAGAGAGAAAATTAATCTATGTTGGATGTTCTCTCTCTCTATCTCTCTCTCTCTCTCTCTCTCTCTCTCTCTCTCTCTCTCTCTCTCTCTCTCTCTCTCTCTCTCTCTCTCTCTCTCTCTCCCTCTCCTCTCTCCTCTCTCTCTCCTCCTCTCTCTCTCTCCTCTCTCTTCTCTCTCTCTCTCTCTCTCTCTCTCCCCTCTCTCTCTCTCTCTCTCACTCATGAAATTAATAGTGATAACAGCACAACCTCACTGTTATAGCATGTAATGTACCCTGAGTATACTTCGTTGACACAGATTTCTCCCATTACTGTACTAACTGTAACCCTCTGGTGACGTTATGTGAATCGTGAATGAGTTCTTCCTCCACCCCTCTAGGGCCGTTCATGCCGTGCCGTGACTTGTTTGACTGGTGGACACTGCGCTGCGGTGTGTGGATCGTCTTCCTGCTGGCGCTGATGGGGAATGGAGTGGTGGTGGTGGTGCTGGTGGCTGCCTATGCCAAGATGGATGTTCCTCGCTTCCTCGTCACCAATCTCGCCATGGCAGACTTCTTCATGGGCGTTTATTTGGGTAGGTGATAGTGAGGCCTGGACGGACCGAATCCGAGTTCACTTTTGAAGCAAAATGGACCAGATCCAGGCTAACTGCTAGGGCTAGGACAGACTGGGCGTGGGTTGACTGCCTAAGTCTGGATAGACCTCAACCGGGTTCATTGCTTAGGGGAGGCCCGGTCAGATTCATAAGTGAAAAACAAACTTTATAAATTATTGGGCCTAGCCAGGTAGCTAATTTATGCGGTTGGTTCAAGCTGGTAGGTTTGGTGCTAGAGCAACCATGGTTAATAGTTACCTGTAAACTGTTCTCTGATCATACTTTGGTAAATGACCCTCATCCGCCATACTACGGCAGATGTGGTTAATGGGTGGTCATGCTAGGGTAGATGAGCCCGGTGACTTGTCATGTAAGGATAGACGAGTTTTGTGGATGGTCATACTAGAGTTGATGAACCTATGGCCTATCATACTAGACTAGATGAACCTTGTGAACGATCCTTCTAAGGAATATTTTCATGTAAGTCATACTTTATCTTTCTTAGTTTGAACTCGTGTGAGACTCCTGCAAATTACAGGTTGTTATATACACGGCAGCAGCCATCAGCTGTTTATCACCTACTCATCGTGTCCTTGTCTTGCAGGGTTCCTGGCTGTGGCTGACGCCTCCACCCTCGGGGAGTTCCGCATGTATGCCATTCCATGGCAGATGTCGCCGGCATGCCAGGTGGCTGGGTTCCTGGGGGTGTTGAGCTCGGAGCTCTCTGTCTACACTCTGGCTGTCATCACCATGGAGAGGAACTACGCTATTACACATGCTATGCACCTCCAGAAGCGGCTGTCCTCCGGCAGGCAGCCTACATCATGGTGGTGGGTTGGATCTTTGCTATCACCATGGCAGTGCTGCCATTAGCTGGAGTTTCTGACTACCGCAAGTTTGCTGTCTGTCTTCCCTTTGAAACTGATGGCGCTGGTCTTGGTTATGTTGTCTTCCTTATGTTCATCAATGGCGTGGCATTCCTCATCCTTATGGGATGCTATTTCAAGATCTACTGTGCAATTCGTGGCTCACAAGCCTGGAATAGTAATGATTCACGCATCGCCAAGCGTATGGCACTTCTCGTCTTCACAGATTTCATCTGCTGGGCGCCAATTGCTTTTTTCTCTCTGACTGCTGCCTTCAACATACATCTGATCTCTCTTGAGGAAGCCAAGGTGTTCACTGTGTTCATCTTGCCTCTGAACTCTTGTTGCAATCCTTTCCTTTATGCCCTCCTCACAAAACAATTTAAGAAAGATTGTGTCATGTTGTGCAAAACGATCGAGGAGTCACGGGTAACTCGAGGCATTGGCCGCTGTCGCCACTCGTCCAACTTCAGCAACCGGCAGACTCCTGCCAACACAAACAGTGCCGTAGATCACACCTCGCAAGGAGACAAGCAGTCTTGCAGCTGCAAAGGTAAACAAGAGAAAAAGAAGAAGCGCCCAAGGTGGACTTTCACTTCACTTAAATACTTGTTATGTACCAAGGGAGCAGAAGAAATAATGTCTTCAAGTGACACGAGCTACCAAACAGACCCCACCAAACACCGAGGGCCTCGACACACTCTCTCTCCAGTGACACGTACAGTGGTTCTTGGTCAGACACTTGGCGAAAAGGGCGTGGTGCCACCACGCTCAGGATGATGGATCGTCGCCGCCACAACTCGTGGTCAGCCTCCAACAAGCCTTCACAAGAGAGCAGCTTATCATCTCGACCAGACTCCTCGGCTACATCTGCCACCTCAGCCACTTCTGCAGCAACAGCCACCTGGCGCATATCTCGCTCTTCAGTATCATCAGACACATCAAACAGTAGTGGCAGGATAAAAAACAATGATGCTGTAGTACCTTCTCGAATTGGATCCCTAAGGAGAGGAGAAGGACGTGGATTTGGACTAGCTCGTCAACATAGCCAGGGTCAGCTTGTCAAAGAGATGCCAACGACCAAGCCACCGCCAAATGGCCGCCCTAAACCTCGTTTGCAGCGCCAGGGAGCTGTAGAAAGGGAAGCCTATACTCCAGGTAAAGAGAGTAGTGGTCTGGAAAGCCCTCCATGTCCCCTTCATCTGCGGCCAGATCACTTGTCATGTGTTTATGAACAGAGCCATGAAGATGACAATACGATGGCTGGTAACAGTCCCATTGGTGGACTTCAGGCCCAGCCAACACTTTTTCTAAGTCCATATAGTCTAGACAGTCCCATGGATGACAACGTCTTTACAGATCCTCCCGAAGAACAAGCTCAAGCTTCCCTTAAATCTTCTCCCTCCCATGGGCAGAAAGGTCAAAGCCCTACACCTCCAGACGAAGTTATTGCCCTTGCAGTGACTGAGACAACAGCTTTCATGGCGGAAGGTTCCACTGATGCTGAAACAGAAACTTCAAAGGAAACTCAGCCTAGCAAAGTACTGGAAACTCATTTTCCACTAGACGTCACTTTACCAGAGTCACGACCGCTAATCTAGTGCCCTCCACAGTGGACAAATTTGAGCCTTTCCCTCCAGTGAAACTTTGGGATCCAGGGCCCTAATGGCTGCCTGGAATACTACCTCCATTCCCCACAGTCACTCTCAGTGCCATGATTCCAGTCACCTGGAATATTCCCAGAGAACACTCTTCCAGTCATGGCATCGGCAGCTTTGAATACTTTTCACATTTCAAATCATGACTGGTTGCTTTGAATACTCCCCATAGTTACTTTTACAATAATGACTGTGTCTGCCGGGAACACTTGCCATTCTTCCAGTTATGACTGCTATTACTAAAGTCTCTGGCAACTTGGAACACCACTTCTCAATTCTATCATTTCCAGCTGATGCTGTTTTTTATTTCCTGGAACACTCATAACAGTAACATTTACAATCTCGCCATCTTTTTTTTCCATTAAAGTACGGGCACTCTTTGTAAATTGAACAAGGCTGTTTGCAACAGGCAACATCCATGACAGTTTCAGGGCCCCAGGCTCCAAAGTAGTTTCAGGCCCCAATATATATAACAAGTTCATGTCTCTAACATTCAAAATAGTTTCAGGGCCCTAAGAACCATAACAGTTTCATGTCCCTAAAAATCATAATAACAGTTTCAGGGACCTCTAACTTTGTACTCTTGAAATATTCAGTGTAAGTCTTTTTTTTTAAATCACACACACATCTATCATTTGCCTTGCCAGAGCTCCTGTGTTCCTGAGCAAGAATGCACGATATCTTCCTCTTAATGCCTGGGAATGTAGAGTGCTGGGGTGCCACAATATGCCAGCTCTGCTTGTACTTCCAGTACCTAGCATTCTAGAGTCATAGAGTGTCACAAGCTGCCAGCTTCACAGATCCTTCCAGCACCTGGGGGTTCTAGAACCCTGGAGTGCCACAAGTTGCCAGTTCTCCGGGTCCTTCCAGCGCCTTGATTCTAGAGTCATGGAGAGCCACGAGTTGCCACATCTGTAGGTCGTTCCAGTCACAAAATGAGTAGCGTCTGCTGGAGCAAGCACGGCAATGCCCTCAATCAAGCCAAAGAACTATAGTGTAAGCAATGTATGCGGTAGTTATTTATATACTCAGTGTATGACAGTTTTTTGAGCATTTAACGAGCATTTTAAAAAAAGAGAAAACTAATAAATTATTTACATTTGCTAGTTGTATCTTCAACCCTTTCAATAAGAACGTGAGCACACTCGTGTTCCAGAGGAAGAGAAAATATCAGGAACGAATGAAAAATAACACGAACAAATAAAAATATCAGGAACAAAGGAGAACAGTCCAAGCAATGTTCAAATGGTTCTGAAGCTTTCAGGTGATTTCTGAATTATGCAAATAAACACAAAAACAAAACCAACAGTACTGACGCAGAAACAGTAATAGTAGTAGTAGTAGTAGTAGTAGTAGAAGTAGTAGTAGAAGTAATAGTAGTAGCACTAGTAGTAGTAGTAGAAGTAATAGTAATAGCAGTAGTAGTAGTAGTAGAAGTAATAGTAGTAGCAGTAGTAGTAGTAGTAGTAGAAGTAGTAGTAGCAGTAGTAGAAGTAGTAGTAGAAGTAATAGTAGTAGCAGTAGTAGTAGTAGTAGAAGTAATAGTAGTAGCAGTAGTAGTAGTAGTAGAAGTAATAGTAGTAGCAGTAGTAGTAGTAGTAGAAGTAGAAGTAAGAGTAGTAGTAGTAGTAGAAAAAGAAGCAATAAAAATAGTAGTAGCAGTAGAAGTAATAGTAATAGTAGCAGTAGTAGTAGTAGTAGTAGTAATAGTAGCAGTAGAAGTAATAGTAGTAGTAGTAGAAGTAATGGTACTAGTAGTAGTAGCAGCAGTAGAAGTAATAGTAATAGTAGTAGTAGTAGCAGTAGAAATAATAGTAATAGTAGTAGCAGTAGTAGAAGTAATAGTAGTAGCAGTAGTAGAAGTAATAGTAGTAGCAGTAGTAAAAGTAATAGTAGTAGTAGTTGTTGTAGTAGTAGTAAAAATTGTGGTGAACTTATCCAGCCAGGGAACTGTCTTACAAGACACACTACAGTCTTACAAGACACACTATAGTCTTACATGACACACTACAGTCTTACGAGACACACTTCAGTCTTACAAGACACACTGTAGTCTTACAAGACACACTACAATCTTACAAGACACACTGTAGTCTTTCAAGACACACTACAGTCTTACGAGACACACTTCAGTCTTACAAGACACACTGTAGTCTTACAAGACACACTACAGTCTTACAAGACACACTGTAGTCTTTCAAGACACACTACAGTCTTACAAGACACACTACAGTCTTACAAGACACACTACAGTCTTACAAGACACACTACAGCTTACAAGACACACTACAGTCTTACAAGACACACTACAGTCTTACAAGACACACTACAGTCTTACAAGACACACTACAGACTTACAAGACAACTACAGTCTTACAAGACAAACTACAGTCTTACAAGACACACTACAGCCTTACAAGACACACTACAGTCTTAATAGACACACTACAGTCTTACAAGACACACTACAGTCTTACAAGACACACTACAGTTTTACAAGACACACTACAGTCTTACAAGACACACTACAGTCTTGGAAGACACACTACAGTCTTACAAGACACACTACAGTCTTACAAGACACACTTCAGTCTTACAAGACACACTGAAGTCTTACAAGACACACTACAGTCTTACAAGACACACTACAGTCTTACAAGACACACTATAGTCTTACAAGACACACTACAGTCTTACAAGACACACTACAGTCTTACAAGACACACTACAGTCTTACAAGACACACTACAGTCTTACAAGACACACTACAGTCTTGAAGCACACTACAGTCTTACAAGACACACTACAGTTTACAAGACATCTTAGTCTTACAAGACACACTACAGTCTTACAAGACACACTACAGTCTTACAAGACACACTACAGTCTTACAAGACACACTACAGTCTTACAAGACAAACTACAGTCTTACATGACACACTACAGCCTTGCAAGACACACTACAGTCTTACAAGACACACTACAGTCTTACAAGACACACTACAGTCTTACAAGACACACTACAGTCTTACAAGACACACTACAGTCTTACAAGACACACTACAGTCTTACAAGACACACTACAGTCTTACAAGACATACTACAGTCTTACAAGACTTACTACAGTCTTACAAGACACACTACAGTCTTACAAGACACACTACTGTCTTACAAGACACACTACTGTCTTACAAGACACACTACAGTCTTATAAGACACACTACAGTCTTACAAGACACACTACAGTCTTACAAGACACACTGTAGTCTTACAAGACACACTACAGTCTTACAAGACACGCTACAGTCTTACAAGACACGCTACAGTCTTACAAGACACACTATAGTCTTACAAGACACACTATAGTCTTTCAAGACACACTACAGTTTTACAAGACTCACTACAGTCTTACAAGACACACTACAGTCTTACAAGACACACTACAGTCTTACAAGACACACTACAGTCGTACAAGACACACTACAGTCTTACAAGACACACTACCGTCTTACAAGACACACTACCGTCTTACAAGACACACTACAGTCTTACAAGACACACACTAGTCATACAAGACACACTACAGTCTTACAAGATACACTACAGTCTTAAAAGACACACTACAGTCTTACAAGACACACTACCGTCTTACAAGACACACAACAGTCTTACAAGACACACTACAGTCTTACAAGACACACTACAGTCTTACAAGACACACTACAGTCTTACAAGACTCACTACAGTCTTACAAGGCACACTACCGTTATGGAAAATTTTATAGGGTGCTTACCTGTATGTACCTCAACATTATATACATACCAGTAATCTCATTGGGAGACAACCATATTGTTTACCGTAGTCACCCCGTGTAGACATGTGAGAAAACTTAACCACCCCTGGTCGCGGCAAGTGGATCCTTCGACCTCACAATCTTATCCATATCTATCCGAGACCAGTATGGATTGGATAGCACCCACAAGTACGGTGCTACTAATTAATTGTGGACTGTATAGATTATATTAGTTTAGCTGAATGAAGGGGGGGTGGTAGGATACACATGGATACATCCATCAAGGAAAAAACATTTGTACATAATCCCACCACTTACCAGATATTCTCTGGTGGTCACTTGTTGTAGCTGGATCACTCATAACCTATCCAATTACAACATAACCTAACGGGCCAGCATCATTTCTGTTATAACTAGAAGGGTTACTTAACTGTGGGATTGATACTCCTTATTTCCTCCATTCACCATCTCATTTCGATGTCCTGCTACACCGACACGGTTCTCATTCCAGCAGGACAAGGTATCCGTCGGTTTGTCCCGGTTTAGAAGTCGTGATTCCATAAAACTTCATTACCTCGGTACGAATTCACACATTCACTCGGAGCGGGGCGATCTATTTCACATCCCGCATTCTCTTAACTCAATGTTATTATCACTGATTACATTACCATTCACAAGACGATTTAACCTCTCATAATTATTATACACATTAGAGATCACTCCATTAAGATCTGAGACCGATGAGTGATGATTAAACCAAGGGTAATTTTCCCCAGACACAGTCCATAGTGATGCGCCAGTCCCCCCCCGGTCCTACCCTTATTCACTCATTTTTCCACTTTATTACGGGGTCCCGTTAAATCACGTTCCCTCACTCTCCACCAGGAACAGTTACGACACTTCCTATTATGAAATGAGGCCTATATTAATCCTTAGGCCGCCATGAATGCCAATTTCGTGGTTCCATGCTTTCCCAGCCTCCTCACCACATTCAAAACACTCCCGCCTCCCCCTGGCCCGAGTCCACCAAACCCCCCGCACATCCGCGCATGCGCAAAGGGAACTCTTGGTTCTACTCTATTTTCAAATGCATTTTTGACCCATATAGACACATTAAACACCTATTAGGCACTATAGTTTCGGAAAATTAAAATATTTTCCACAACCGTCTTAAAAGACACACTACAGTCTTACAAGACACACTACAGTCTTACAAGACACACTACAGTCTTACAAGACACACTACAGTCTTACAAGACACACTACAGTCTTACAAGACTCACTACAGTCTTTGTCACAGCTTACCTCACACACGCCAGTCTCTTCTTTGGAATCCTCCACCTCTTCACTCCACAAGCGCCCAAGCCCTTGCTGTCGCGTGGGGCTCTAAACAACAGCTACCACGCTGGTAACTGGTGCTTCACCAGTTTGTGCAGGCGCCCTCCTCAGCTTCACACACACTGCCGCCATATGGTCGTACGCCCCGCATATTCTGCACGTACGTCTCTGTCCGGCGTACGATACCATAACTTGCGTCCTGAAGTCCTCCAACACGACGTAAGCCCGGTATGGGATGCCCTCAGAGTCTTTCTTCAGGGAAAAGGTTCTCTCCAGGAACGGCCCATGTAAAGCACCAGCCGCCCCACTTCCCTGTTGTGCCAGATGTACGGTCCCTATGCCTCAAAAACACTCCTGATGTCAGCCTCATCTGCCTCAAATGGGACATTACGAATCTTAACCCCAAACGTAAAGTGGCGGATACGTCGATCAAACGCACCTTCACAGCTGGAGTAGCGTCAAGACTCACGTCTTGGAATCTCGTCACCAACGACTCGTGCACGGACGTGGAATTCAGTTTGGGCGAAGATTCTGTAAGCCCCATTCAGGGCAACACCATACACCTCATCGTCCTGGATACCATAGGTCTCCCTAATGATTTTTGGGAATAATACCTGCGCTGAAGAGGGTGAAATCGTCTCACGAAGCAGCTCAATACCGATGGTATTTACGCGCCTCCTCACACTCAGCGCCATGTTGATACAAGGTAGCTCGCCTGAAAACAGCAGAGGGGTGCAGAGCACAACTGCACTCTACCGTGGTCAGACAGCGAATGTATGTAGGAGAGAGAGAGTATGTATAGGAGAGAGGGAGTGAATGTAGGATAAAGGGAGTGTATGTAGGAGAGAGGGAGTGTATGTAGGAGAGAGGGAGTGTATGTAGGAGAGAGAGAGAGTGTGTGTGGGAGAAAGGGAGTATATGTAGGAGAGAGGGAGTGTATGTAGAAGAGAGAGAGAGCGTATGTGTAGAAGAGACGGAGTGTATGGCAACATGGGTTTAGAACAGGTCGCTCCTGTCTGTCTCAACTATTGGATCACTACGACAAGGTCCTAAATGCACTAGAAGACAAAAAGAATGCAGATGTAATATATACAGACTTTGCAAAAGCCTTCGACAAGTGTGACCATGGCGTAATAGCGCACAAAATGCGTGCTAAAGGAATAACAGGAAAAGTCAGTCGATGGATCTATAATTTCCTCACTAACAGAACACAGAGAGTAGTCGTCAACAGAGTAAAAGTCCGAGGCAGCTACGGTGAAAAGCTCTGTTCCACAAGGCACAGTACTTGCTCCCATCTTGTTCCTCATCCTCATATCCGACATAGACAAGGATGTCAGCCACAGCACCGTGTCTTCCTTTGCAGATGACACCCGAATCTGCATGACAGTGTCTTCCCTTGCAGACACTGCAAGGCTCCAGGCGGAATCAACCAAATCTTTCAGTGGGCTGCAGAAACAATATGAAGTTCAACGATGAGAAATTTCAATTACTCAGATATGGTAAACACGAGGAAAATTAAATCTTCATCCCGAGTACAAACAAATTCTGGCCACAAAATAGAGCGAAAAAACCCAAAGTCAAGGACCTGGGAGTCATCATGCCGGAGGATTTCACCTTTAAGGACCTAACATTGTATCCAATCGAAACTGCTAAAAAAAATGACAGGATGGATAATGAGAACCTTCAAAACAGGGAAAGGGCCCAAACCCATGATGACACTCTTCAGGTCACTTGTTCTATCTAGGCTGGAATATTGCTGCACACTAACAAGCACCTTTCAAGGCAGGTGAAATTGCTTGACCTAGAAAATGTACAGAAAACCTTCACGGCGCGCATAAGGGAGATAAAAATACCTCAATTACGGGGAACGTTAAGGTTCCTAAATTTTTTCCCCCTGGAACGCGGGGAGAGATACATGTTTAATACCCCGGGAAAATCTAGGGGGGATAGTACCGAACTTGCACCGAAAATCATACTACAAAGCAAAAGACTTGGAAAACGATGCAACTCCCCCCCAATAAAAAGCGGGTGTCACTACACGTTAAGAGACCAACAATAATGTCGGGGCCCAGACTGTTCAACTGCCTCCCAGCTACAAAGGGGGATTACCAACAGACCCCTGGCGTCTTCAAGCGGCACGGACAAGCCCCTAAAGCGTTCCGCCCAGCGGGGCTGTGGCTGTACGTTGGTTTGCGTGCAGCCAGCACAAAGCCGGGTTGATCGGGCCCTTGACCACCAGGAGGCCGGTCACAGCCCGGGGCCGGGGGCGTTGACCCCCGGAACCTCTCCGGGTAAACTCCAGATAGAAATGAAGGGGGAACTAAAATTATTAATTATTATTATTTTTATTATTTTTATTATTATTATTATTTTTATTTTTATTATTATTCTCACATAATGACCCAAGGGGGGCCCTTAAAAAGGGCTGCATGAATTTCTTTTCCCCCTTTTTTTAAATTTTTCCCTTTTTTATTTCGTCACCCTCAAAACACCTAATCTGACCCTTTTCAAATTTTTAACTTTGATGACGGTAACCGGGATAAATTTTTTCCCTATACTGTTGCAAGGGTCGATTCACAGCCCCTCCCCCTGAGGGGCCCCCAAGATGATGGGGTGTTAGTATTTTTTGGAAAGGGTTTAACTTTGAAATTATTGGGGTAAGGTAACTGCTCTTAGACTGAAACTTCGACTGGTGGAAAAACACCCGGGATAAAGGACGTGACCAGAATATGGAACCAAGATAAGAAAAAAAAAAAATATAAAAGAAGGCATACTAACGAAAGAAAAGGAAAATTATGGCTAGTTAGGTTAAGTTTGTTAGGAAAGAGGACAAGTGTTTCCTATTGTTGTTGTTGTTGGGGTTTATAGGGCCATTAGTGTTTCCTGCTGTGGGTCTTAGCCATATGACCTACAGCTGGGACTTTTGGTCATCTGATCGATGCCTTTCGCTGGCTTACCGGTCAACCTCTTTAAAAATTTATAGTTTTATGGATGGTGTGTGAAGATTCTTTATGTGTAGGGTCTTGTGGAAGATATATTTTTTTTTGTTTAAAATTTCGTAGGGAAGCGCTATTTCCCGTAAGGTAATGCAGCCCTTTGGGGGGAAAGGGGTAGAAATTTAATACTTCCAAGGAACGGGGGGCTACCCAAATTCCCTTGAATCAAGGGCCCCCTCACTGGCATCAAGGTACCTCCCTCAAAGTCGTAAAATATCAATAATTTTTCTTAAAAATTTCAATAGAGGACCGTCCCAGATGGAATAGCCCTCCTGATAACTTAACCTAAAATTTACTGAGGGGAGGGAGGAGCAAAAGGGTGCCCCGTACTCGATTGTTAGGCACTCAGTCACACACTGAGGTTCGGGGTTCGTTTCCTAATTTTGCCCCCCCAACACCATTGTGATGGGGAGCGTTTAAAAATACGATTTGGATGACAGCCAATAAATTTTACCTTAACACTGAAAAAAACCTACTTTTAGTTTGGTAGCAAGCGGGAGACCCAAAAAATTAACATTAAGATTGACAACACCTATTCCCGGGAAATAAGGGGGGAAAATTTCCTAGGCTTATACCTTGACAACAACCTGAATTTCAGCACCCATATCCACATATACCCAAAAAAAGTATCCAAAACGGTTGGGGGATCCTCTCCAAGATCGAAACTACGACCGCAAAATCCCCTTCTCACACTTTTACCACTCACTTATTTACCATACCTCACCCATGCTTTTTTGTGCTTGGGGGTCAACTGCACAAAACACCAAAGCCAATAAAAAACCCAACAAAAAAAAAATGCAGTAAAGAATAACCAAAAACCATCCTGGGCCCAAAAAAAAAAACCCCCCCCCCCTCTTTTAAAAATCTAACTTTTCTCCCAGTTAGTACATCCCCACTTACACTGTCAATCTATATCTACAGGGGCCTTAAACTCTAATATCAACCTTGACCCAAAAAGCTTTCTTGATAGTTGTGACAGAACCCACAGGGGTAACACCAACAAAAACATCTCTACGACATTCCCCCTGTCCGACAAACCTTTACAAAAAATTTAATGTATGCAAAGGCCCTAAATCGGAATCCCTACCTGAGAAAAATCTAGAAAATGCAGACACATTATCACCTTTAAAACTACCATTTAAAAAAATCTTATCTCCCTGATACCCCCTCAGCTAACTACACAATACCGCCTGGTGGGTTTCCCCTACACTCCTCACCATTTGACCAAAACGGGAAAATTAATTCAGTCTTAAAAAAATGAATCCGTATACTCCAATTCTGAAAAATATGTACTGTGCCAAAACAAAAGCATTCACATTGCTAAACTCACAAACTAGTATTTAGTCACTTAGCCGTAATACCAACTTACTTCATAATTTGTAATATTTTACAATTAAGAATAAAACTAAGTATGCCCGAAATGCCTAGCCATGCTAAGCGTTCTAGTGGTACACTCTGTAATCACAATTTTACTACATGTAAACCAAACAATAACCAAAATTTCTGTAAACTCAGCATTGTAATCCTTATAGAGAATAAACTTTGAATTTGAATTTGAATTTGAACAATAGGACGTGTTTCCTTGAAACACCTGTTGTCCCTATTCACCTAGCAGTAAAATAGGTACCTGGGTGTGGGTCGCATCCTGGGAACAAAAATTGACCTAATTTGTCCGAAATACTATATATAAACCCGGGGGTTATGTAAGTGTATCCATTTTTTGTCAGCTAGAGTTACATTGACATGTACTCTAAAAAATAAGATTATTTGTATTATTTCGGTTTTTTCGTGTATTACCCAGAGTCGAACCCGTTCATTCGGTTGTGCCCGCAGCTACAAGTCGGTCCCACTGAATGCCAAATCACGTTGACAAGGGGTAGGAATCCTTAACATGCTCCAGTAGGCCTATTTTTTCTACCTAGGCAATTTCACAATTTTGGGTTTATGATTGCTGGGATAAAACACGTGTTTTTAAATTTCCTAGAAACCCGTAAAAGCAACCATAATTTTTTTTATTGCAGTGCATTATACCTAAAAAATGTTAATATTCATTTTTTGAAGTCCCGATATATTCATAAACCGCTAAGTATTACCAAATTTTTGAAAAATTCTAAAAAACCAAAAATTTTATCATTCTCCAATTTCTTTTCGTCATCTTGTCCCCCATTTTCTTTGGTTTTCTAATGTGTTCTGTTTCTTTGACTTCGGCTTAAGATTATTATTCAAATATTAAAAGTATAAATGTTTGGGAATTGCAGTTATGACGAGGTTAAGCGAATATTTTCTTGATAAACCCACATTGTAATTAACACTTTGCAATTGCTGCATACATAGGGTTATATAATGTCAATGTTAACATTCACTCTAAAATAAAATGAGAATACGAAATATAAAAAAGAAGATTCTATGTAGATATCTTGTATAGCTAAAGACTGAAAATGAAACATAAACAAAAAATTATAGTGATGATGGACTACATTTTTTTTGAATGAAATCGAAGCCAGTGCCCAGAGAAAGGATGTGAAGGCAGACTAAATATGAGCTAGTCAACAAGTGCAGACGAAACGTGTTCAGAGGAAGACGTGATCTCCATTACATCCTTCACTCTCGTTGTCTGAGGACATTTTCGCCAATATCCTGGTTGGTAGGTGTGTAAAGATGTCTTAGTTATACGCTGTAGCATTATCTACTGCTGTCACTTGGTAATAATTAAACTAAAGGCGAGAGTTTAGTCTCGTTACAGGTACTTCAGTTCTTATCTTCAAGGAAGGTTCCTTGATGCTGGTTAAGGGCTCTTGATCCATGGAAATGGACTTTTTCCCTCGCCTTCCTTGGATCGAACTTTATTGCCTTTTATTCCCCCCAGGTGCTGTATGACCCCTGTAGGTTTAGCACTTCTACCTAAATAAAGATTAAGGTTTCCATACGATACCTGGAGTTTACCTGGAGAGGGTTTCGGGGGTCAACGCCCCCGCGGCCCGGTCTGAGACCAGGCCTCATGGTGGATCAGGGTCTGTTCAACCAGGCTGTTACTGTCCGGATTTTTAACCCCGGAGTGTTAGCTCCTCAAGATAACCCATTAAAGTTAATGCGTCATCGGGGAATATATCTTATTTCCAGGAAACGTTTCGCCACACAGTGGCTTCATCAGTCCATACATAGGAGAAACTTGAAGAACAGGAGGAGAATGAGGTAATCAGTCCCTCAACCTTGAGTCGATGTGTTCAGTCCATCAATCTTGAGTAGAATACGGCAGATGAGCGGAGAAGCAGCTTATAAACCGTATGGCAGGAGAGGTGTAGCAGTCATAGGTAGTGTCACATTTGACTGCTACACCTCTCCTGCCATACGGTTTATAAGCTGCTTCTCCGCTCATCTGCCGTATTCTACTCAAGATTGATGGACTGAACACATCGACTCAAGGTTGAGGGACTGATTACCTCATTCTCCTCCTGTTCTTCAAGTTTCTCCTATGTATGGACTGATGAAGCCACTGTGTGGCAAAACGTTTCCTCAATAAAGATACCCAAGAGTTGCACATGTGTCTAATTTATCAACATGTCGGTTCTCTGAACCATTCATCTACAAATATCTTATTTCCATTGGAGTCCTTTAGTCCCCCTCCCAGGATGCGACCCACGCCAGGTACCTACTTACTGCTAGGTGAACAGTGACAGCAAGTCAAAGGAAACTTGCTCAGCGTTTCACCCATGCCGGAAATCTATCCTGGACCCTCAGTATGTGAACTGAGAACCCTACCTACCAAGCCATAACTCTCATCAAAAAATATTTAGAATATATACGTGTATATACATAGGCCCGATAATGGACTGGGCTGTGGGGGGCTTTGACCTCCATAAAACTCTCCAGATATAAGATAAGACACTTTATTTTAGCGTGATAGTCTTTTAACAAAGGTGAATAACATTGAGGTGTGCATGCAGAAAACCTCTTAGGTGATTCTGAATATAAATTTAGGAATTACAGCAAATGCAAGATAATTTAACCTTTAAACTGTCCAAACGTAGATCTACGTTTTTTCAACATTTGAGTGTAAAAAAAGTAGATCTTTTCTTTTTTTACATTTGAAAAAGTGTAAAAAAAACTTTGATCTACTTTTTTTTTGTTATATTTGAAAATGTGTAAAAAAAAAACAGATCTACTTTTGGAGCACTACGCATGGGAATGTAGATCTGCTTGGACAGTTTAAGATTTAATATCCCATTAGTTCATGCTATATGGCTTTTATCAAGTTAATTGTTGAGGGAATTAACCAGAACTAGTAACTTAGGGTAATCCAGTAAAGCCATCATGTGTGGCTTATTTGCATTTGGTCCTTTTAATTTTTTTTTTTCTCAGGATTCGACCCACAGGAATCTACTAATATACAGGACTGTTATCTGGCAGTATATAAAGGTTTTTATCAATTGGGAAACTCTGGGTATATGTCTGGATGGCCTACATAGTTCTTTAAAGGATGTTATGGAGTCCTAGGACAGGTATATTCTAAATTTTGTGTTGGTAAGGATAGGACAGGTCAAATTTGGCTTAATTTATTTTTATGGGAAAGTGCTAAACCCATAGGGGTCTTTGTCATGGAAAGTAATCAGGTTTGATACAAGGAAGTGGAAGGTATCTCTGTTTCCCTGCATTCAAGTACTCTTGAATCAAAAGGAAAGGTTCTGGTATTACTAGTTTTATGGGCTTAAATACATAGGTTTTACTAAAGCTTGTATAATTGTCGCTGTTGCCCAGCGGTGAGAGGAGCGACTCTCATTGCTGAGGTCCAGGGAATGAACCTAGTATAGTTTTAAGTCTGTTGATTTTAGTTATTACAGTCTTAAATGTGTACAGTATGACCATTTGTACTGATTTCTTTTCTTTATATATAGTCACTTACTGGGGGGTCCCCAATCTAGAGAGAACTGGATTAAGAATGTATCCTTGGGTCAAACCTGAATGCTTCCCATTCCTCAGGTGCTCTGACACCTATCATTTTGGCACTTTACACTGAATAAGTACGTATTGGAAAAACTTGCAGGTTGCCAAGAGCCTAGAGATTAGGCAATATGACACTTTTCCGAGCGACTCGAAATATGCTGGGACTGCGCAGCAGGATTAAGGCAATGGTTATCCCGAGAAAGTTAGCTAACATTCCCACCATGGCCCCAACTTGTTCTCGCTTCTTCTACCGTGGACCATGGCGTGATCCCTTCACTCACATGGAAGAATTCATGAAAGATATGGAAAGGAAATTTAAGAGAGACATTGATAGCAGCCTGAGTTCATTTTTCAGAGATGTAAGTACTGTATATAATGGCACTGTTCTGTGTGAGACAATACATTTATTTACCTTCATATAATTCAGTTTGGTACAAAGAAATAATTTGATTTTGCAGGGAACAAGAGCATTTGCTTGCTTAGTATCAAGCATTTTGACTGTACAGTATATAATACTGAACAGCTTAGGTTTTCAAACCATTTTGTGTTTTAGCAATATAGTATTGTACTCTATTCTCCTCACTTCTGTGGATGAATTAATTTTCATGTGTATAATATGGTTCAACATTTGCAAAATGTATATATTTTTATTATTATTAACACATTGGCTGTTTCCCACTAAGGTAGGGTGGCCCAAAAAAGATAAATTCATCATCATTCACTCCATCACTGTCTTATCAGAGGCACGTTTATACTACAGTTATAAAACTTTAGCACACATAAGGGGATTACCAACAGACCCCTGGCAGTCTTCAAGCTGGCACTGGACAAGCACCTAAAGTCAGTTCCTGATCAGCCGGGCTGTGGCTCGTACGTTGGTTTGCGTGCAGCCAGCAGCAACAGCCTGGTTGATCAGGCGCTGATCCACCAGGAGGCCTGGTCACAGACCGGGCCGCGGGGGCGTTGACCCCCGAAACTCTCTCCAGGTAAACTCCAGGTTAACAAGTCTCCTTCAAGAGTGCAGGCACTGTACTTCCCATCTCCTGCCTTCCATTTCCCTGAATCCCTTCAGAAATGTTACCTTGCTCACACTCCAACTGCACATCAAGTCCTAAAAACCATTTGTCTCTATTCGCTCCTATCTAACATGCTCACGCATGATTGCTGGAAGTCCAAGCCCCTTGCACACAAAAACCACCTCCCTCCAACCTTCCCTAGGCCGACCCCTACCCCGCCTTCTCTCCACTACAAAGTTATGCACTCAGTCATTCTATTCTGTTCCATCTCCTCTACATGTCTGAGCTGTATGACCCTTGTAGGTTTAGTGCTTCTTTTTGATTATAATAATCTACATGTCTGAACCACCTCAACCTTCTGGATAATAGTTTTGGTAATCCCACACCTCCTCTTAACATCCATACTATGAATTCTCTGCTTTATATTCACACTACACATTTCCCTCAGACACATCATCACTGATGCAAACCTTCTCCTTGTTGCAAAGCAACTTTTTTTTTTATGGTGCAGTGCATCATGCAGTAAATAATTTTCTGCCTCTTAGTTTATAAATTACTCTTGTACAACATTTGAAAACAAATGTTGAACATGACCTATTTATTAATATATAGGTATTAGGTGATTATTATTATTATCAAAAAGAAGTGCTAAACCACAAGGGCTATACAGCACTGTTATTAGGCGATACATTTGTAATATAGCTGGTGTACATGTAAAAACTATTGCATACTCATCAAAATATAACTTGATTTTCGAAGGTTCCTCGTGTGGTGGGTTCACAAGCTTTGGAGACTGCACCGGTGATTACAAAGCCAGGTTTTGGACATGTGCAGAATATCTCGACAGAGGACAGGTACAAACTAGCATTCAACTTTATCGATGCCAAACCAGAGGATATCAAAGTTACTCTAAAAGGTAAATTTTCTGCCAGACTACTTTGACTTCCTTATTTTTACCATATGATATATATATATATATATATATATTTTTTTTTTTCAACAAACCAGCCGTATCCCACCAAGGCAGGGTGGCCCAAAAAGAAAAACGAAAGTTTCTCGTTTTAAATTTAGTAATATATACAGGAGAAGGGATTACTAGCCCTTTGCTCCCGGCATTTTAGTCGCCTCTTACAGCACGCATGGCTTACGGAGGAAGAATTCTGTTCCACTTCCCCATGGAGATAAGAGGAAATAAACAAGAACAAGAACTAGAAAGAAAATAGAAGAAAACCCAGAGGGGTGTGTATATATATGCTTGTACATCTATGTGTAGTGTGACCTAAGTGTAAGTAGAAGTAGCAAGACGTACCTGAAACCTTGCATGTTCACGAGACAGAAAATTGGACACCAGCAATCCTACCATCATGTAAAACAATTACAGGCTTTCGTTTTACACTCAGTTGGCAGGAAGGTAGTACCTCCCTGGGTGGTTGCTGTCTACCAACCTACTACCTACACACACACATTATATATACATGTATATTTATATATATATTTATTTATTTTCCATGGGGAAGTGGAACAGAATTCTTCCTCCGTAAGCCATGTGTGTCATAAGAGGTGACTAAAATGCTGGGAGCAAGGGGCTAGTAACCCCTTCTTCTGTATATATTACTAAATTTAAAAGGAGAAATTTTCATTTGTCCTTTTTGGCCACCCCACCTCAGTGGGAAACGGCTGGTCCATTGAGAGAGAGAGATTAGAGAGATATAGATAGATATAGATAGATATAGATAGATATAGATAGATAGATATAGATAGATAGATATAGATAGATAGATATAGATAGATAGATATAGATAGATAAATATAGATATAGAGATAGATATAGATAGAGATAGATAGAGATAGATAGAGATAGATAGAGATATAGATAGATATAGAGATAGATATAGATAGATGTAGATAGATATAGATAGATATAGATAGATATAGATAGATATAGATAGATATACAGTGGTCCCTCGCTTTTCGTAGTTCTCGGCAATCGTAAATTTCGCCAATCATAGGGGTATTTTCGTATAAACATGGACTTGCTTTTCATAGGTTGACTTGCGAATAGTAGTTCGTCCAGGACGCTTACGCACGGTGTGAGCCAGGGAGGCCTCCCTACCCAGCCAGTCTGGCATTGTTTACCAGTGAGTGAAGGTCCCCTCAAGTGCTCCTACGAAATATTTCATAATATTCCACTCATTTTAGTGCTTGCAAGTACTAAATAAGCTACCATGGCTCCAAAGAAAGCTCCTAGTGCCAAGCCTGTGGTAAAGAAGGTGAGAAATATGTACAGTGACAAAGTCTTGTACCATTTTAGGGAAGTGTTAAAGAGACGCCAGAAACAGAGCTCTCTCCAGTTACTTTGCGAGACAGGACTAGAGTGACTCTCAAGGTGGTCCTAGTGGCATTAAGAAACAGAGAAGAGAAGCAACCCCAGAGAAGCAATTGGTACCTGAGGTGTTGCTGGAAGGGGATTCCCCTTCCAAACTGTAAACAATCCAATTTCTCTCCTCCTCCAGTCTCACATACACTAAGAAGAATCTCCAATAAAGGTAAGTGTTAAGATAAGATAAGATTTCGTTCGGATTTTTAACCCCGGAGGGTTAGCCACCCAGGATAACCCAAGAAAGTCAGTGCGTCATCGAGGACTGTCTAACTTATTTCCATTGGGGTCCTTAATCTTGTCCCCCAGGATGCGACCCACACCAGTCAACTAACACCCAGGTACCTATTTGCTGCTAGGTGAACAGGACAACAGGTGTAAGGAAACGTGTCGAATGTTTCCACCCGCCGGGAATCAAACCCGGGCCCTCCGTGTGTGAAGCGGGAGCTTTAGCCACCAGGCCACCGGGCCACCCCAGGCCACCGGGCCTGTTTCATTCATCATTTCCCATTGTATTGTTTATGTACTACATATATATTTCATGTAAAAAATTTTTTTGTTTTAATACTTCTGAGTGTCAGAAACGGATTAATTGTATTTACATTATTTCTTATGGGGAAAATTGATTCGCAAATCGTAAATTTCGTTTATAGTAGCTCCTCCAGGAGCAGATTAATTACGAAAAACGAGGGACCACTGTATATATGTATGTATGTATGTATGTATGTATATATATATGTATGTATGTATATATGTATGTATGTATGTATGTATATATGTATGTATTTTATGTATGTAAATGTATGATGTATATATGTATATATGTATATGTATATGTATTATATATAATATATATAAATATATTTTAAATATATATATAATATATAATATTTATATATTTTATAGCTCTTCTTCTCATGCATGTGTATCCTGAATTAGTGACCTAAATAAATTTCTCTTAAAATAATGGCATACACATTTTCTTACTGTAGTATTAAGATCTTTGTCTTTCCCAATACAGTGGGCCCCCGGTTTTCGATCAGCTCCCAATGTGACCAATTATGTAAGTGTATTTATGTAAGTGCGTTTGTACGTGTATGTTTGGGGTCTGAAATGGACTAATCTAATTTACAATATTCCTTATGGGAACAAATTCGTTCAGTAATGGCACCTGAACATACTTCTGGACTGAAATAATATCGTAAACCGGGAGTCCACTGTATTTTAATTACCACATTTTACCCTTTACTCATTTTCTTTCCATATCTTCATTCTTGATTCAAGTTACCATTTAATGTATTAGTAAAATAATTGGATGGATTTGTTTAGGGGGCAACCTTATTCTAGGCTAAAGTAACTTTTCTTCTGTCTGCCAGGGTTAACCCTTAAAAACTGACTATATTTTTACCTTCCTGGGTGGAGGCTCCTTGATGCCAGTGGGAGGCACTTGATCTAAGGAATTGCACCTAATGTTCCTTTGGATTGACCCAGATAGCCTCCTGTTCCTCCAGAAGCTGTATGACCCATACATGTTTAGCACTTTCCTCATGAATGTACACCAATATTGTTTTACATGACTAGGAAACCAGTCCTTTAAAAAGTACACTTTAGCTCATTACTAGTGTATATGCAAATGCCCAATGTGCTGAACTCCATTTTAATTCAGTGAAGCCTCTAAATTGCAGTATCTAGCGTATTTGCATTTGTACCATCCTACATTAAACTTATACTTTCCTGTTACTTTTACTAAACATTACTAAATATTTTATTCACATCTCTCAACTCTTATTTTAATACTTTCTGTAAACATAATTTTCTCATTCTAGACAAATATTACATAATTTTATATTAGCAAGTACTGTACTCTGAAAGTTCTGGCACATAATGCCCTTCATGTGTCTGCAGTATCAGGATTGTTATTCTTATTGGTGTCTTTCTATAGGACGAACATTGACTGTCTCTGGAAAAGCTGAATCCTCGACCGAAACATCCCAGGTCAAGCATGCAATGTCTGTAGAGTACCAGCTGCCAGAGGAAGTGGATGTCGATGCTCTGGAGTCTTCCCTCTCCCATGATGGAATCTTGACAATTGAGGCACCCCAGACTCCACCTAAGGGGCCAGAAACTTCTCAAACAATAAACATCAAGAGGGAAGAATAAGTATGATAGTGCCTGTTTTTTTAGGGACTATGAAAGTAGAGCAATCATTGCATACAACAATACCCTGCAATCTTATGTTTTTCCCTCTATATTATGCTGGACAGGTCACAAGTAAAATAATTTTTGTGGACACCTTTTGTATACAAGAAATACTATATGCTGAAAATTAAAATTATTCAAGTAAATTTATTTTACATTTTAGGACTTATCTACCAGTGATCTGATACTAAAGAAAAATTGTTAAATGTATGCTGTATATATAGTGATTTAATCAGTAAGGAAGTTACTTTAGAAAACAAAACATGGGTACTGCATAACGTTTGCACAATGTAACAATTTTTTTTGCTATATTGGGTGATCATTTTGTTTAGATTAAAATATTCCAGCTGCTGTAGTCTATAGGAGGTTAAATATGAATAATCTTCATTTAATTACTAAGTTAAGATAAGTACATACACTGAACAACATCTCTTGTTATAATGTTGCCATATACATTTAGCCTAAGTTTTAATAAATACTGTATCAATCATAATATTTTTTAAATAAAGGGAATACCAAACTTAGAATTGGTTTATAATGATCCTTGTAGGTTTAGCACTTCTTTTTAATTATAATAATAATAATGTAAACCAATTATATTTTTTTTAACAAGTAGGCCGTCTCCCACCGAGGCAGGGTGACCCAAAAAGAAAGAAAAAATACCCAAAAAGAAAATACCTTCATCATCATTCAACACTTTCACCTCACTCACACATAATCACTGTTTTTGCAGAGGTGCTCAGAATACAACAGTTTAGAAGTATATACGTATAAAAATACACAATACAGTGGACCCCCGGTTAACGAACTTTTTTCATTCCAGTAGTATGTTCAGGTGCCAGTACTGACCGAATTTTTTCCCATAAGGAATATTGTGAAGTAGATTAGTCCATTTCAGACCCCCAAACATACACGTACAAACGCACTTACATAAATACACTTACATAATTGGTCGCATTTGGAGGTGATCGTTAAGCGGGGGTCCACTGTATATCCCTCCAAACTGCCAATATCCCAAATCCCTCCTTTAGAGTGCAGGCATTGTACTTCCCATTTCCAGTACTCAAGTCCGGCTATATAAAAATGACCGGTTTCCCTGAATCCCTTCACTAAATATTACCCTGCTCAAACTCCAACAGATTGTCAGGTCCCAAATACCATTCGTCTCCATTCACTCCTGTCGAACACACTCATGCACGCCTGCTAAGAAATATTTGCTTATGTAAAGGCACAGTTACTTGTTATTTATTGCATTTCTTGTTTCAACAGTTTAAATAAAAAACTTAGAAATATTCCGTGAAACATTTTGTCAGGTTGCCATAACTGGCTAGGAAACAGCATTATTACGTGCTTACAATGGTGGGCCTTGATCACACTCCTGGAAAACTATGAAATGCTAATCGTATTCATTTTTGTTTTTCAAAGCCGATTTGACAGCTATTATGAGGATGTGCTCCTCAAGGGAGGTTCCTCGATGCTGGTGAGGGGCTCTTGATCTAGGGAATTGGATCTGTGCTCTGGTTCCCTGAATTAAGTCTGAATACCTTCCATCCCCCCCCACATGGGCTATATAATCCTACAGGTTTAGTGCTCCCCCATAATTATATTATATGAGGATGTGAATTCAAAGGAACTGTTTAAATGAATTGTCGATGACCCCTCAAGGAAGGTTCCTTGATGTTGGTGAGGAGCTCTTGATCTATGGAATTGGATCTGTGCTTTAATTCCCTGAATTAAGCCTGAATGCATTCCATTCTCACCCCCCCCCCCACACACACACACGTGTTGTGTAATCCCTACAGATTTACTGCTGCCCCATGATGTCAAGATGAACTAGTCATCCTTGTTGCTGTGACAGAGCTAGGTCCCTCCAGCCTTTAATTTTACTATGGAATGTTGCCATGGAAAGCACTAATAACCCATCCTGAATAACCCATTCCTTCTTATTTCAGCATAACTAAATTGTTTTTATATGGATATCCTGAACTTGTAAGGAAACTCCTCCAGTGAATTTCCCTAATGCTAATAAGAGGCTCTTGATCCAAGGAACTGGACTTGTCCTCCCCTTAGATTAAACCAGATTGTCTCCTGATCTCAAAGTATTATGAATCCTAAGGATTAAGTGCTTCCCCTTATTTATAATAAAGATCAAACGATGTCCCTTGAGGGTTAAAATTAGCAAATTATGGCTACGCTACTCTACAACAATCCCTAGTTTAATGAAAATAAGTGGGTCACTCTTAAGGAGGCATAATGTAGCAGTCTCCAAAAGTTACCAGATAAACTTGGATGCATAAAGCCAGATTATCAAACCACTCAGGAATAAATGAAGATAAATGATAAAGCATAGCTATATTTTATTCCGCTGTATAGCCCTTGTGGCTTAGCGCTTCTTTTTGATTATAATAATAATATATTTTATTCCCAGATAGATGAATGCACTGAAAAACTTGAAATATTTATTTAGTGAAGAATTCCTTGTAGTATATTAACAGTAAATCATATTTGTTCTTTACTTTTAACACCTCAGTTCAGTAAAAAATGACATGCCTAAACGGTATACCTCTCCTCTTACACTTGTACTGGTAAATGAAAACTTCACAAATAATACAAAGTATTTACATAACTTTTAACACTGGCAGTCTCCCACTGAGGCAGGGTGATTAAAAAAATTAAAAAAAAAAAAAAAAAAACACTTGCACCATCATTCAGACTACCACTGTCTTTGAAGAGGTATGCAGATGCAACAGATTAGAGGCCACTCTGTGGCAAATATTCCAAATTCCTCCTTTAAAAAGAAGGCATTGTATTTCCCACCTCCAGGACTCAAGTCTGGCTAACCAGTTTCCCTGAATATCTCTACAAAATATTACCCTGCTCACACTCAACAGCTCAAGTCCCCAAACACCATTCGTCTCCACTCGCTCCTATCTAACATGCTCTCACATGCCTGCTGTATGTCCAATCCCCTTGCACACAAAACCTCTTACTCTCCCTCCAATCTTTCCTAGGACAACCCCTACCCTTCCTTCCCTCCACTACAGATTTTAATACCCTCCAAGTCATCCTATTTTCCTCCACCCTCTCTAAATGACCAAACCACCTCAACAACCCCTCCTCAGCCCTCTGAATAATACTTTTAGTAACTCCATGCCTCCTCCTAATTCTACACTATGAATTCTCTTCATGATATTTACACATCACATTGCCTGTAGATATGACAACTTCACTGCCTCCAGCCTCCTCCTTACTGTATTATTCATAACCCATGATCACACATGGATAACATTCTTTGTCTCCAGAGATACCTCAATTCACCACCCACCTTTTTTCCTCCATCAGTTCTCTGATTTACCTCGTCCTTCATAATATCAACCAATAATATGGTTTAAAACTGAAGGAATATTTAGAGTACACCCAATAACAAAAACAGAAACAATATTGCAGGAGCGGCCAAGCATGGTTTGCGAGGTTTACTTACTGTCGTGGATATTATTATTGCTGGGCCACATTTAATGAGCAAAAAGTCGCATACAACTCTCCGAGCCATAGTTTTGCTCTTAATATGGGCTCTTATTTAGAAGGAAATGACTATTAATCCTATATTACAATAAGGGTCATACACCATTGGGAGGGAGGTGGGCAGAATGGGATGTACTAATCCCATAGATTGAGCACATTTACACGTGCACGTGGGGAGTTCACATCTATCATTACACATTTTATATATACTGTATATATACATATAAAAGTAATATACTCTATGCTATCACCCCTTATATGGTTAACAGGCACCTTATACTTAAACTAACCAAAGGCTTTAATATTTAAAGACATACACACAATATGGTATATAACTAATATGTGCTTTTTCTAAAAAAAAAAAATATATATACAGGTCAAGTGTATACTATACCGAGCATTCGCCTGATTCCCTAACTTTGGGGTGAGTGTATCCTTGGGATACAATCACCCCTAAGTTGGGATTTTCATCAGAAGGGATAACTGGGTACACAAAGCCTCAACCAACTAAAATAAATTCATTAATAAACTCTCAGTAATCCAGATACAGGTGAAGCAACAACCCAGGTGTAATGGACATTACTGTATTCACGAAGCACTAAACCCATATTATTATTATAATCAAAAAGAAGCGCTAAGCCACAAGGGCTATACAGCGCTGCAGGGTAGGGAAGGAAGCAAGGGAATTGGATGGCAGAAGGGAGGGGGGATGATCAGCAGGTTACAGAAAACAGCGGGGCAGGGGATAGTACGGGGGTAGAGGGTAGCAAGAGATTGAAGTAGAAAGGGCTGAAGGTATCAAAATTTGTGAAGTAAGTCAGTTGTTGTCAAAAAGTCAATGAGAGAGTCCGGATGAAAGGTGGGTCCATCAGCGATAAGGGAAGGTAAAGAGAGAGCAGCGGAGCGAAGACGACGACAGAGGTAAATTCTGCGTGCTCGTTGATAAAGTGGGCAGTCCAACAGAATGTGGCTGACTGATAATGGAGCTTGGCAATTCTCCACAGAGAGGAGCAAGACGCCTCTCCATGAGATATCCATGAGTAAGACGAGTATGGCCAATGCGAAGACGGGAGAGAGTAGTCTCCCAACCTCGACACTGGTGATAAGAAGACGGCCAGTAACCTATACTCGTTTAATAGATTGAAGTTTGTTGCCGAGCATAGTAGACCAACGTTGTTGCCAACGGGTGTGAAGGTGGGAAGATATTGCAGTAAAATAGTCCGTAAATGGAATACCTCTAGAAGAAACTGGTAGGTCATGTACTGCTGACCGCGCAGCAGTGTCTGCCTGTTCATTGCCCTGTACGTCAACATGACCAGGGACCCAACAAAAAACAATATCTTTATGCTTGGTAAAGATGCGGCGTAGCCAAAGTTGGATACGGAGGACTAAGGGGTGAGGTGTATCAATTTTTGTATAGCCTGTAAAGCACTAAGGGAGTCTGAGACAACCACAAATGATGACACAGGCATAGATGCAATACGGATAAGTGCTGTAAGGATGGCATATAATTCAGCAGTAAAAATACTAGCCGAAGATAGTAAATGCCTTTGTACGACGCTGTCCGGAAACACTGCTGCGAATCCTACGCCATCCCGAAGACTTAGAGCCCTCTGTGTACACAGCAATGGCATGAGAATGAGAGTGAAAGTGGTCAAGAAAAAGAGAGCGGGAAGCGACCGTAGACAGTTGGGCTTTCGAGCAAGGGAGGGAGAAAGAACAGACTAACAGCTGGAACTTCCCAGGGGGGTAGGGAAAAGTGAGATGCTACATGTACATAGAAAAGGTGGTAGTTGAAGAGAAGACAAGAGCGAATGAAGGCGAAGAGAGAAGGGACGGAGTAAACAGGGGCGGCGAACAAATAAAGAATGTCTACTAATATCAGTGACCATTCTATAAATGGAAGGATTGCGGAGATCATGAGAGCGTGGGCATCACGGCGATCGGATAAGGATGGAACGTTCGCTTCTGCATAGAGGCTCTCGACAGGGGAAGAGCGAAAAGC